AGGATGTCAAGGATTGAATTCAGGACCTTTCATGTGCAAAATATATATTCTGGCAGAGGACTTTTGTGCATAGCCAAAGCTCCTATGTATTCTGTGTGCTCTCAAGTAAGACAAACTCATTGAATCGAGTTGCTAGTCCTTACAGTTAAAGAGATGAAAGTGTGAGTAAATACAATTTGCATTGGAATCTCAGAAGACAAAGCTGTGTTGAGCAAAATACAACTGTAGGTCAAAGTGAAGGGTGGGAATGGACTTCATCCTTCTCCTTAGAATCATAGAATCAAAGAGTTGGAAGAGACCTCATGGGCCATCCAGTCCAACCCCCTGCCAAGAAGCAGGAATATTACATTCAAATCATCCCTGACAGATGGCCATCCAGCCTCTGTTTAAAAGCTTCCAAAGAAGAAGCCTCCACCACACTGCGGGGCAGAGAGTTCCACTGCTGAACGGCTCTCACAGTCAGGAAGTTCTTCCTCATGTTCAGATGGAATCTCCTTTGTTGTAGTTTGGAGCCATTGTTTCGTGTCCTAGTCTCCAGGGCAGCAGAAAACAAGCCTGCTCCCTCCTCCCTGTGGCTTCCTCTCACATATTTATACATGGCTATCATATCTCCTCTCAGCCTTCTCTTCTTCAGGCTAAACATGCCCAGCTCCTTAAGCCGCTCCTCATAGGGCTTTTTCTCCAGACCCTTGTTCAATGTTTTGACATTCTCTCAACACTTAGAAAGTACACAATAATAGTTTTTTCAAAGCAGCTTAATTGATATAGTACATACTCCATCTTCCCCATTTGTAGGTTCAGCTTTTGCAGATTTTATTATTTGCAGATTTTATTAAAATGGTATTTCTAGGGACCTCTAGGTCTTCCATTATGTCTCTATGGCCAGTTTCCATCAGAGGTTAAATGTGTTTTTCCACTTTTATGGAGTCCACCAAAAATACTTTATTCCATGGCCTTCCTGATCTGTGACCATAGTAATAAAATGAATTCATCAAATGTGCCTGTGATGGTGGTGGGACCAAGAGAAAGCCCTCTCCAGGAATCTTAATACTCAAGCAGGCTCATATTAACCGATTTGAACTATGCTTATGTCTCCATAAATCGTCTTGTGTGCATTCAAAATTAAATTGAGTCATTGCACCTAGAAGCTGCTTTGATGTTACAAGGTAGGGGTATGCATTGTGGAATGGTGGAGTGAATGATGCGCTATGGCCTGGATGCTCAATAGATATTGTTATGACTATGCGTATTGAATATTCCTCAATACACATCGGGATGCCAGCTAGGATGTGCCGCTACAGGAATAGTAGATGTGCCTGGGACATATCAGAAGGGCTCACTGAGGCACTTGATATGCTCTTGCTAATGCCATGATGTACATCTTTGCAATTTTCTAGGAGGGATTCTTTGTTTCTGTGTGGTTAGAGAACATAGACTGTGATATAACTGTGGTTTTTCAGATAATTTTGACTTAAGTTGTAAATGATTTTATGGGTCATAAACAGAATCTTGATTTGTACATGGAAACAAGCTGATAGCCAACAAAGCTGTTCCAACAAGGGAGCTATATGTTCCCCATAACCAACCTCAGTCAGCAGACCTAGGTTTGCCCCTTGGTGTTATTCCTCTCCCTCAGCTGTTTCATTTCCTTTACTCAGTTCTGGTGATGAGACTCGCTTGTTGAAAATATTTTCTTGGCTATGGGTCTTTTTCTTCCCATGGAAGCTTAGGAATGTGCATCAACACTGTAAAGTTAATGCAGTTTGACACCACTTTAAATGCTACTGCACAATTCAGAATGTTGATTGGGGCCTTTAAAACCCTGTGTTCCTTCAATCCAGCATGGTGTGAATGATGGACTATAACCCTGGAAATTCAGGTCTAAATATCTGCTTAACCACAAAAATACACAAGGTAACTATATGAAACCATGCCCTTTCAGCCTCAGAGGAGGGCAGTGGCAAACCCTCTATGAACAAACCTTGCTAAGAAAACCTCATGATAAGTTCATGTTAGGGTTGTCATAGGTTGGAAACAACTTGAAGGCACACAACAATTTCTTTGGTCCAGGGTTATCCGAAAGCCAAGGTTTCCACAAATGACACCAATACGTCCTCTTCAGGAGAGGACATTCTCTCCACCCCATACTCTCCCAGACATCTTTAGTGAGGACACAGGACAGAGCCTTCTTAGGAGCAGCTCCCAAGCTATGAAATTTCCTTCCAAGGCATGCGTAGTCAGCTCCCTTTGTGCACATTTTCTCTCTTTAGTGCACCATGAAGTGCCACAGTTGTTCCTGGCTCCACATGACACATAGTTTGTTTCCTCTCTCCCTCCACATTGCTCTGGCACCCTGACCAACATCACTCCAGGCTTACACAAGCAATGTTGCGCCTGCTGGGTGCAACAACAGCGAAAACAGGTGGGGATAGTAGGGACCTTGTCACACTAGAACATAGATCCACTTTGAATCTGGTTGCTGCTTCCTGCAGAATTTAGGGGTTTGTAGTTTAGGGAGAAGTCTTTAAACTAATCAGTAAGACAGGTCTTGGGCATCACTAAACTACAAACCCAGAATTCTGCAGGAGACCACATCCAGATTTGGAGTGTATCCATACTCTATTGTGATGAGGCACAAAGTGTGCCATCCCGCAATGCCAGACCAGATTCCATGCAGCTGGACAATCAGGACTCATCCCTGCCTCCACAGAAGCTAGGGAGTTTCTGGTCAAAGTAATCTCAAGGGGGATCCAGCTTTTGCTGCTCCAGATCAACCACAGGAAAGGGTCGGTGTTGAGATGCCCAGGGCTCTTTCAGTAGCAAGCCCTCAACTGTGGAACCTCCTGCCAAGGGATGTTAAGCTTGATCCATCTCTTTTGAGCTTCCAGGAGGCAATGGTTCTTTTTCACATGGTCTTTACATATTGCACCAGTTGGTTAGTTTGGTTGTTTTAATATCACTTTTAAACATTTTTTCAGATTTCTTTTTAAAAAAATCTTGAACCCTATTTTGAAAAATGTCACTGGTTTGGAACTGCTGTAGTGCAGATGCACAGAGAGAGAGATCAAGAGAGATTGCTCTGATGTTAGCAAAAATGCAGTTTTAAAAGTCACTTAATAATTCAGGCGTTCTTCCACCTTGAGACGTCAGATCTGGCCACAGTGGTCCACGCTCTTGTTACATCCCGAATAGATTACTGCAACGCACTCTACGTGGGGTTGCCTTTGAAGACTGTTCGGAAACTTCAATTAGTCCAGCGGGCGGCAGCCAGATTACTCACCGGAGCGTCATACAGGGAGCATACCACCCCTCTGTTATGTCAGCTCCACTGGTTGCCGATCCAGTTCCGAGCACAATTCAGAGTGCTGGTTTGGACCTACAAAACCCTATACGGCTCCGGTCCAGCATATCTGTCCGAACGCATCTCCTTCTACGTCCCGCCTCATCACAAGTGAGATTGGTGGGCATGAGGAGCAGGGCCTTCTCGGTGGTGGCCTCTCGCCTGTGGCATTTACTCCCCGGGGAAATTAGGTCACCGACATCCCTCCTCTCTTTGAGAAGGAAACTAAAAACATGGATATGGGACCAGGCCTTTGGGTAATCTGGCAGATAGACAAAGGACAATGACGACTAGAATTGATAGGATTTGACAATGTGGAATGAACTTACGGATTCTGAGCTGGCGAACGTTGAGCATTAGATTGGTTTTATTGATTGTGATGTATAATTGATTGTTTTAATTGTTTTATAATTGCTGTTTATATATGTTTTATCCTATTGTTTGTGTTGGCATCGAATTGTGCCTTTTGTAAGCTGCCCTGAGTCCCCCCTCTGGGGTTGAGAAAGGCGGGGTAGAAATGTGTGAAATAAATAAATAAATAAATAAAAGTGCATGTTGGTCTTTTGCACAGAAAACAGATTTTTATTTCCTACACAAGAACAGTATTTTGCTTGCAGAAAATACTATTTTCTTTGCTCAAAACATTTTTTTGTCCAGAAAACAGTATTTTCTGTGCATGAAATCCAGCTTTCTGTGACATAAACTTGTTTTCTCCACACACAAAACGTCTTTTCTGCACTTAAAAAAATCCATGTGAATATGCAGAATCTGTCCTGAACTGTGCAGATTTTCACCTGTCTAAAATTCTCCAAAACTTAATTCCAGAATTCAATAGAAAGTTTCTACTGCAATTGAAGCGGATTCATATTGCTATAACAGAGTATTGTGAAAAAGCCCCAGATATTAAGCATGTAGCCTGAACCTGTTCTGTCATTGCTATTTATGAGATGTATGGGAATTCAGAAACTTTGTAACACCTCTAAGCCTGAACTAACTACCTTGTACTGTTTTTGTGGGAAAAAGTAGGAAAACATAGGAAAACATCTACTTTGTGGATTCACAAAGGCAGGATTTACAATCCAAAGCATTTCCAAAATGCTCTTTTATTCTTAAAGATTAACATTCTAATAAGATTTAATTCTTTTAAATTACCATTGTTTTTCATCTGAATTGGACTTTAAACTCCATCTTGGGTCCTTTGGTGGGAGAAAGGCAAGATATGAATTAATTACGCAGCAACTTTTCAAAGATTAATAACAGCTTACATCCTGTTCTTAGTTACAACTTGAGTAGTTCTAGTGAATCTATGAATTTTAAATTGGCATTTTATTTGTATGAATGATTTGAATGTGATCTTTTTTGTGTCTTTTAATCTATGCATTTTAAACACTTTAATGTTTTTAACTATGTATTTTCACGATGTTGTGCCATGCCTCAAAGCTTGAGAAGCAGATAAGAATTATTATTATTCACCTAAGTGTTGATTTACCATTTAACCATTGATTCCATAGCTCTCCTATAGTTAGGACCAAACAACTGGATGCTATATTGTGCTTTACCTGAAAACAAGGGGATGTCTTAGCTTACTTGTGGTACTCGGATCCAATGGAAGAACTAGGTTGGGATGATGCTAACAAGGCTTGCCTTTCTCTTTCTGCAGGTGCCATCCCATAAGCCTCAGTGGCCCTAGGAAGGGCCAGTGTCAACAGTCCCTGTGGCCAGCCCTTGGCCAGACCACACAGCCACAGTGGGCCACAACGGCAGAAGAGAACTGCCCATGCCGACTGTTTATGAAGTGGGGAAACAGGTGAACTTCTGATCTTGGCTTACATTAAGGTGAACATTAGAAAGGGTTGTCTTTTGAGGAGCAAAATGACTTAGAACATCCATTGCCCACTGGCCAGAAAAGTATAAGGGGGCTTATATGTGGGTATAGCAGCAACAGGGTCCCAACCATAAAAGAAGACATGCATAGAAGGTGAAATGATAAGGCTTGCAAAAGTTGAAGGCAGGATGAAAACAGTGGCTTGATTCCATGGTTTGATTCTGAGTTTGCAAAACCTGGACTGATCTGTTAACAACCTAGAGGTCTCTCGCCCAGAGTGTTGTCATCTTTCTTTAAGAAAGATCTAAAAACTCAGCTTTTCTGATGTGCCTTTGGAGAGTGACTATATATTCCAGTCCTGTTACTTCACCCACACTGTTTTCCTTCTATTGCACTCCCCCTCCCCCCACCTTAATGAAAGTCTAACTCCACTGTTCCGTCCCCTACGAGCTCCTCCTCCCCACAAATATACCTTTTTTCATTGCTGTCTCATCCAGAGTTTTATCATTTTATGTCATGCATTTGGCCCATTGTGTTTGATTTTCCATTATGTTATTTTGCACTGTTTATTTTACTTGAATTGCTTATTTATTTTATTGTGGTGTTATTTTTGTTGTTTATATTTTATTTTGAAGTAATGTATCACTGGGCTTGGCCTCATGTAAGCTGCTCCGAGTCCCCTTCGTGGAGATGATGCCAGTTTGATGGCATATAGCAGTAGCAATGTGTTTTCAGAAGAGTTCAAGGCTAGAGAAAACTCCACATTATTTGTGTGGAGCTGACAGATTGCCTCCTGAAGGGTTAGAGGGAGAATGTCCATAAGCAGAGCAGTATGGTTGTGAAAAGGCTTGGATTTAGAACTGGTTGATGACCCACAGCAGACATTTCAGACACCTCTCTTGACTGTCTCTCTGGTGTCAACCACTCCCTATAAGTCAACTAACATATAGGCTGTGGATCCCCACTAGCACCAGGAAAGGCAGCATTGCTCCTGAATTGAGATCCTGGGGACTTGGATTTAAGAATTAATGCATCCTAGCTGTGCTTATGAATCATATATTTATACAACTTTTAATTTCACAGTTTGGTTTTTGCAAACATTTGTTACTTTTGTGTGTGCAATGTGAGAGAGGCAGTGTAGTATAATAATTTGAGCACTGGATTGTGACTCTGGATCCCCAGTCAGCCATTGAAACTCACTGGGTGACAATGGGCATGTCACCTTCTCTCAACTTCAGAGGAAGGCAAAGGCAAACCCAGTCCAATGCCCAAAATTACAAACCTTGCCAAGAAAACCTTGTTTTAGAGTCACCTTAGGGTCACCATAATTCAGAAACAACTTGAAGACTCCCAAAAATAATAGTGTAAGGATACTTTAGTCCAGGCTGTATCCCAAACTGATGCATGCTCCAAAAATGTAACCCGAAGTATAATTTTGCTAACGAAGAGGATAAGCTATCCCTATTTCAGTTTGCTTTAAACATCTCTCCCCGTGCCTTCAAGGTTGCTGGAAGTATTCATGACACCATCTACAGGAAAGTAATTCAGTCAGTGTGCCAGTTCCCCAAAGAGGTTTTGCTTTCCTTCCCCATTCTGCTTCCTCTCTTTGTAGTACCCAGAGCCAGAGTATCCAGAGAGACCCCTTCCAATGTCCCAGCATGAGACCTCTCCGACAGCACTGCGACGAGCCAGCAATCATCGACGGGCCAACCCCTGCTGCCTTTGCTGGTGCTGCTGCTGCAGTTGCTCATGGTAAGACTATAGTCGGGGGAAAGTCTAGTCTAGACTCAGTTGAAGTCTTCCACCATTATGGAATATCTTTGTTCTCACATATACAGAAAATGTGCATGGACATGCAATTACCTAACAAGCCAGGAATACAGAGCTCTTTTGCAAAGTCACAGAACAAGTGTAGTATCGTTTTGCGCCGGCGTGAGGAGTTGAATCCAGTTCCCCTGGAGTCCCCATGTGGCCATATGGCTTTCCTGATAATTTCATAATTCTTTTCCAATTTGTGTTGTTCTCCCATTCTAAAATTTTAAAATGTACATCCTAAGCTATAGTTAATGGCAGTGGAAGATAACAAAGACGGAATCTGTCATACTTGCAACGTATCATAAGAACATATGACCACCTGGAAAAGACAGAAATGTTTGACATGAATACACTAAAGATACTAGATCAGGCATGGGCAAATTTCGGGACTCCAGGTGTTTTGGACTTGAATGACCAGGAATCCCAACTCGCTTACAGGCTGTTAGAAATTGTGGGAGGGCCAAAGTTTGTCCATGCCTGCACTGGATCCTATCTGATCTTGGAAGTTAAACCTGCTTAGTTCTGGTGGGTACTCGGTTGGGAGATTGCCAGTGAATACAAGGTGCCTTAGGGATGGACAAAGCCACCTCTAAGACTTCCTTATCTAAGAAAACCTTTGGAAATTCATGGGGGTCATCTAAGTTGACAGGACCTTTGAAGAAATGTGGAAACACAACATGAAAAGTAATAGGTGGGTTGATTCAGTCAAGAAATCCACAGCTCTTAGTTTGTAAGACCTAAGTAAGGGGGATGAAGATTGGGCCTTTTAAAGATCTCTCATTAAAAGGGTCACCATAAGTCAAAGTCGACAGCAAATAACAACAGTGAAGGTTACCTATATCCATGTGGCAGTGAGTTCATGCCAAGGTTTGGCTAGCCTTGGTTAACTAAAAATGGTACTCAAAGTGATAAAGACACCTCTTCTTGTTGTGTAGGATCTATTAATCCTGGTACAATGTAGGAGTTAAAATGGTGTCTGCTCCTTCTGCAGTTGTTTTATTTACATTAAAACATTTAAAGCTTGCTCCATATAATGAGATCTCAGTTTGCCCACCTGGGTCTATGAGCTTGGTAGAGATGACTATTGGTTTCCACCGCAGTAGAGCAGTGGTGAATTGACTTTAAAGGAAATGTTGGGGTGGTTGGATTCAATTCCTTGGGTCACTTATTTAAAATTCAATTTAAAACACAAGGTAGATTAACCATTGTACTGACACTGAAGCCAGTATCAGCACCTTGGATAGCTCCTTTAAAGTTTGGACTAAAGCCTAGATCAGATTCACTGTCACATTAACACTAAAAACACTGGCTCTTTTTGCTCTGTATTCCCCAGCCTATTGCTTTCTAAATAACTTAGTTTACAACTGCCTATATTCCTGGCCATTAGCCACATCTACTAAGGCTGATGGGAATCGACATCCAAAACAATCTGGAGAGTCCTCATTTGGCAAGTGATATTCACAAGTAACTATCAAAGTAAAAACTAGCTCAGATAGATCAGATGAACTGTCATTCACTCTTTTATGGGACATTTCCAGGCAATTCCCTGTTCCTTTTCTGGCTGATGTTCAGCTGCTCTCTTTGGGATAGGCCACATACTTAAGCGTGTTTATCACTGGTGTTTAATCAGGGGGAGTATTTGACAAAGCAAGTGTAAACACCATCTTCAGCAGATGGTCTCATATTTGTGCTTCACGCCGTACGGAGGCCTGTGAAAATGCCATGCATCCAGTTTTGTTTAGATCTGGGAGTCTCTCTGTGTGTGCTGGATTTAGGGCATTATGTTTTGGCTAATTTCCTTGTGATCACTTTCTCAAAATAGCAGCATTTCCTAACTTAGGCTTCATGGAGTAGTATGTTGGGATTCATCAGCTATTCCTACATCTTGTGGCATTTCAAAATTTAACTCTGTGCTTCATACAGTCAGCGCTCTACATCTGCAGGCTTGAGTTTGGCAGATTTAATAATTCACAGATATGATTAAAACTTTCTTTCTGGGAATCTCTACATCCTCCTGTGTGATTAGCTGGTCAGCTCCCAGCAGGAGTTCACCACTCAGTTGTGCTGGTAGAAATTTCTAGTGTATTCTCTCAGGAAAAAAACCAGGAATTTTACTATTTGCTGTTTTTCATTTTCACGGGGATCCTGTGAAGTGTTAAGATGTAACTGCTGCAAGTCAGTGTGGTTTCAGTGTTGGATGAGAACTTCAGGAAACGGGGGTTTACATCCTCATTCGGCCATGAAAATCTACTCAGTGCTCTTGGTTATGTCACACTCTGAGGAAGGCAATGGCAAACCTTCTTGGAACAAATCTTGCCTGGAAAAGCCTTTGATAGGTTCACATTATGGCTGCCACAAATCAGAAATGACTTGAAAGCAAGCAACTGCATAATGCAGCTGCCATGTAACTCCATGAGTGTAAAGTTATGCTCTGTCTCCTTGCTTTAGCATCTCAGCCAGAGTGCCAATTTTATTGCAGATCTCTGATCACCGCATGAGAGGAGGGTCACTGCTCAGTGGCAGAGCACAACATTGACAGCTGAAGGGCCCAGGAGTTGCCCAGCAACTCCTCTTGAAGAGAAAGAGCTCAGATAGGAGGGATGGGAAAGACCTGTCTGAAGCCCGATAAAGCAGAAGTGGGCAATTATATTGAGGACATCTTTCTATCTCTCTCATGGGTCACATTGCCCACACCAAGTACCAGCCCAACCCGTCTTCCTCTGCAGTTCCTCTCAAAATGATGACGGGAAGTGTTGCTGCATCACATCCTTTCCCCATTTTGAGAAATACTCTAGAAGGAAATGGAGGTACAGGTGAAGTATTCAAAGAATCATAGAGTTGGAAGAGACCTCATGGGCCATCCAGTCCAACCCCCTGCCAAGAAGCCTGTTCCTGCTTCTTTCTGGGAATCCCAAAATGCTTGGGAACAGAAATGCTTTTAAGATTTTTCTTTTTTTGCATTTTGGAACACCTGTATTTTCATATGTGTATTTTATGAGATATCTTGGGGCTTATTTATCGTGTCAGGAGCGAACCAAAGCAGTTGTATTGCATTAAAAACAAACAAACAAAACACAAAATTTGCAGACTTGGTGTTCTATTAAATGTCCTTTGACCAGTAGCTGGCCACTTGGAGTGCCTCTGGTGTTACTGCAAGAAGGTCCTCCATTGTGCATGTGGCAGAGCTCAGGTTGCATTGCAGTAGGTGGTCTGTGGTTTGCTCTTCTCCACACTCGCATGTCATGGATTCCACTTTGTAGCCCCATCTTGGGGCTGATTTTATACAATATTTTTTATACTTTTGGGCATGAAGTAAATTTTGCGCACAAGTTAGAGCATTCAAAATTGCTTCAGTTGAAGGAGGATTTCTATAGGTTCATTCTTTCCCTGCACGGTTCGTTGCTCTCTGAGGGTGGGTGGGCAATGAAATGTGCACACTGGCACCATTGTTCCTGGTGATGCCTCAACTGTAAGGGACAGCCCAAGGTAGGAGGATGACAGATTGTTTTTTAATAAAGCTCCAGCAACTTGGCCAACCAGTTTACTTATTGCAAAAGGGAGCACATAAACATTTTTGCTGACTTAAATCAGTTGAATGGTAAATGCAATATATATATTAACATTCCCAAAATAAACCAAGACGGTGATATTTGGTTGGAGCCTTCTTGGCAATTTAGACAGATAGGTGTGAGTGTGTCTTCTACAATTGTACTTTCTATGAGATTGGGTAAGGATGGTAAACTAATCAGATTGTGCAAGTATCACACCAAAAAGCAGTTGCGTTTCTATTCTTGGTTGTGGTTGTACACCAAGGGTTACATCTTTGATGCCCAAAACAGGGGGATAACAATACTGAACATGGTTAGATTTTGAAAAGATAAGATTTCTAAATATCAAATAGTGTAGGACTTCTGCAACTTGTTTCAAATGTGAATTGCCAGTATTGGAATCCGTCAAGAAAGCCTTTTTGCCCCTGGGAGGCACAGTTGGAGAGGTTGCAAAGCAGCCCTGCGGCCATATCCATGGAGACACAGCACATAATTCAGAAAGCTGGCTTTGCAGCATTTCTAGGTGTGTGGAGAGCTTCCACAAATCAAGGAGCCTCTGCTTTTCCAAGGACTGCCCTCCATGCTCATGGAGGTGACAGAAACATGTGAGTAGAAGCTTCTGTAGCTTAAAAAGCCAATGCAACTCCAGGCTGCATCAATAATATAGTGTCTACATCGAGGCAGTAATAGCTATTCTGCTTTTGTCGAACCTCAACTGAAATAATGCTGTGTCTAGTTCTGGGCAAAGCAATTCAAGAAGATTGACAAGCTGTGTCCAGATAAGGGCTACCAAATTGTCCAAAGGTTTGGAAGCTAAGTTCTGAGGAGCGGCTTAGGGAGCTGGAAAAGAGGTTGTTGAAAGAAGACATGATATCCATATTTAAATATTTGAAAGGATGTCACATTGAGGAGGGGGCAAGTTGGTTTTCTACAGCTCTGGAGACTAGGACACAAAACAATGGATTTAAATTGCAGCAAAAGAGATTCCACCCAAAGATTAGGAAGAACTTACTGATGGCAAGAGCTATTTGGCAGAAGAATATGTTGCCTCAGTGTGGGAGTCTCCTTTTTTAGAGGTTTTTAAGCCAAGGCTGGATGGTCATCTATTGGGAGGCCTTGGATTGTATGCATGGCAGGGAGTTAGGTCCGGATGGCCCTTGCAGTCCACCTATTGTGCCTCCCTCCCACATGTATTTACTGTATTCATCTCTGGATGCACAAATAGGATTCCTGTTGTCTCCTGAATTGTGGGCAAACACTGGCCTCTACTGGTGTCTGAGAAGAACAGCATGCTGGTTAATCAATTTCCACGGAGGAAGCTGTGTCCATCTCAGCCAAAGCAACAGAAGACCTTATAGAGCCTTACAGATGAACAAGTTTCGATTGGATGAAGCTTTTGTAGACTTCAGCCCCATTCTTCCTTTGCAGAAGTGACCTTCCATTCATGAAATCTCCTCCCAGTTGAGCATTGCCCCCACAGGGCTTTCATTGTGATGCTTTGCCTATCTATACCGTCTTTTCCATTTCCTTTTCGGTTGATAGGAATGAAGATCGGGAGCGAGCATGGAGGGCATCGCGAGACACCAAACTGGAGACCATACCAAACTGTGAATCCTGGTGAGTCGCCTCTTCGTCGCAGATAGGAATAGTGTGTGTTCCACAATTTCATGACTACTGTGTCTCCAGGAAGACTAGGGAACTGTCAAGCCTGTTTTCAAAATTTTATTTTTTTATTCACTTTTAATGTTATTGCTCTTTCTATCTCACTTTCTCCCTAATGGATTAGCATTCAAACCAGCTAACAGACATGACCAATAATAAGTAGTATCCGTATCTGCCATTCTAAAGACCAGGAAGATGTGAAGCCCATTCCCCCCCCCCCCCAACAAAAATATTTATGGATTATATTTTTTTTAATGAGTTTTATCCCACTTTTCCTTAAGGCGGGTAAGAAACAAGACAACAATCAAGTTATAAAGTCATTAAAAAGCATCTCCTTTCGATTGAGACATTTCAAACTGACCTTTCAATTCACACTGGAAGTCACAGACAAGACTGGGATGGATACATCCGTATACTGCAGCCCAAATGATAGGACAGACTTCCGTCACTCATAGCAGTTTGGGGAACTTTTATTATTGCCATAGTGCCATAGTTGTGAATATGTAGTGACCATGCAGCCAAACCTATAATTAATGTGCTAGATCTAGTTTGCACATTCGTAACCGTGATAGTAAATTCTCACCATTGTGGGGTGTGTTTTTTAAAGGTGCATTCGGTCCAAAGTTGAGAGAAAGGCTGGGGAATGGATACATAAATATAGAGCTAAAATGTTGTACTTAAATATTTGCAAAAGAAATAAAAACCTAGAATAATCTTTAAAGAATTAAATGTCCATATGTAAAGATGCACAAATTCAGGTCTATGCCCAGTATTTTGTATTTGGAGATGTAGCAAACTGTTAAGAATCTCCAACCAGATTACATCCTGGAGGAAAGTGCTGTGATCCAGCAGCACTTGGCTGGAGTCTTACTGAATTATCTCTGGTTCTTCCCTTCATGTTCCTTGTGGTTCCTTGGGCATTGCTTCCTGGTGGATGGGCGGGCTGCACCTACAGTGCCAAGCCAACCTCTGAGGAAATCAAGTGCTGGTCGCAGTCATTCGACAAGTTGATGAAAAACCCAGCTGGCAGGAACGTGTTCCGGGAATTCTTACGGACTGAGTACAGCGAGGAGAATATGCTTTTTTGGCTGGCCTGCGAGGAACTCAAAAGCGAGTGCAACAAGCACGCCATTGACGAAAAGGCACGGATGATCTATGAGGATTACATCTCCATTCTTTCACCCAAGGAGGTACTAGATTTTATTGGTTCAGGTGGTTCAGTCATTGTGAATCCAATATAAGCAATAAGATAATGGTCAGCTCTAGTCAGTACATGGATGGGAGACTGCCAAGGAATCCCTGGTGCTGTAGTCTATGTTTCAGAGGAACATAATGGCAAACACCATTTGTAAACCGCACTGAGTCACCTTTGGGCTGAGAAAGACGGTATATAAATATGGCTAATAAATAAATACCACCTGAAATTCATGGGGTTGCATAACAAACAGCTTGCATACAAGTTGTTTGTTGCATTAGAAGTTGGTGACTTCCAATGCATCTGCTTTGAATGAGCTGTCTAAAATGCTGAATCCTATCTGAGTGATTTTGCACCCAGAATCACTCCTTTAAAGTTCATACTAAAATCCAGAGTGGATTTACTGTCATAATGTCATGAGAGCTAAGTGTCAGCAATGAAAATAAGTCGATACACAATACTTCTGGGGCTTAATAGACACCTCAGTTGGAACTTAACTTACAAAAGTTATGTTTTTTGGACTACAAGAATCCACCATGGGCACTGGCCATGCTGACTAAGCATCTATGGAATTGTAGTTTTTAAAAAAACAGCTTTCCCAACACTAAGCCTGAAGTTAACACCAGGCATAATAGGGTGGACACAGCTTCCATCCTTTACAGACAGAACTGGGTCCAGATTTGAGGTCTTAATGCTGTCGTAGTTTGTTTCATATCATGCTATGGTCCTCTTATTCTGCATCGGTTCTATACTATTTTTCTCTTTCTATATGATTTTCTCCCTCTGTGTTTTTTTTTTTCCTGTCATTCAGGTCAGCTTGGACTCGCGTGTGCGCGAAGGCATTAACCGCAAGATGCAGGAGCCATCCTCGCACACCTTTGATGATGCACAGCTACAGATCTACACCCTAATGCATAGAGACTCCTACCCCCGTTTTCTGAACTCTACCATATATAAAACATTGATCCAGAGCGTCTCCCGATCATCCTCAGAGTCCTAAGCATCATATCCCACAAACAACTGCCTGGTGGTGCAGAATACAAAGCGATGGTTCCTCTTTCAAACATCAGGTGTTAAATTTTATGGAGGAAAATTGGCTCACCCCACTTGGTCATGCAAAATGAAGAGACCTAAAATGGTACCCCTGGTACAGAAGAACCCCTAATCCTCCTCAGCTGTGAACTACAGCCTGGTTTGCCCAATTACTGGAAAGATTACTCCCATTTAGCCCATCTGGTCTTCTTCCAACAACAACAAAAAACTGAACTGTGACTTCAGCTGTCATGCAAACCTCAAACTCAGGCCTCTGCTTTTACTACTGAATCCATGTTGGCAAGAACTGGAGTACAGGAAGGAGCAGCCAACCCGTGAGGGTGGGGGGTGAGCTGGGGAAACCTTGGGCATCAATGAGTGAAAAAAAGGCCAAAGTCCACATTTTCTGAATGTTGTTCTCTCTTTGATCTGTCTCTTTTTCTTTTCTGTTTAAACAAAAAGAGTTATTTCCATGGTGGTCCTGTAGTAGTAACTTCAGCCACGGCTAGTCTCTTGGGTCATTTAGCATAAGAACGATGGCACACAAGTTTTGGGGAAATATCAAATAACCTTGCATTGGTCAGTGGCTGTGGGGTCTGAGTTTGTTTCAGGGTTGCATTTATTTCAACTTGGGCTAGACTTCTCTTGATTCAGTGACTAGTTAAAAAAGAAATAAGGCTTGAGCTCAAAGCTCTTAAACTTTGACATTTTGATATGTGGGATTTTCTTGGAATAACAATTCATCAATTTTTTGAACCAGAAAAGGGTGTTTGAGGGAATCTAGACATATGGAGAATCACAAAAAAACCAGCCTTGAGTCATATGTGACCCCAGGTTTGCTTTTTCGTGAAACCAGACACATTTCCCCAAAGATTTTGTTTCTGCCTTCTATACAAAAAGGCAGGAGGCACGGTAACCTTTCTGGAGTCCCGGTGAGCTTTTTCTATAGGTCCAGGAGGTTCCTCCATTTTTAGGCCATATCTGGCTTGGGTGTAGGCTTTTCTTGGCTGACACAGCATATTATCTAGTCTTGAATGCCTTCTGTTGTGGCATCCAGATCCAAAGGAGTTTCTTGAGCCTGCCAGATCATGGTGAAGTGTGGTCCTCTATGGGAGGTTCCAAGTTTCCTTGGGAGAGGGAAGGGGGCATTTCCATGACTGAAAAAAATGGGTCTGCCAAGCTTTTGGGGAGGCAGAACTGCTATCAGCAATACAGCTTTTCTATTAGAGATGCAGCAGTGAGGGAACAGGGGCTACCCTATTCATAGAATCAGAGTTGGAAGAGACCACATGAGCTATCCAATTCAACCCCCCACCATTTATTCCCCAATGGTTGGGAACTGGTAAGAGCGGTGCTCCACAGCCCCCTGTGGCCTCGCAGTCATGCCACTAGGAGTCCTTGGGCCACTCAAGACTACTAATGTGGCTTACTGTGAGAAGCTGGATGGTGGCCTAATTCAGAGTTGGACAACTCACAAACAGCATATGTCACCTGGCATTTTTGCAGCCTACACAGCAACAACTTAAGTTTTTCAATGGTGGAAGTATGAAAGAAAAAACTTACTTTCACACAGATATATAGCACATAGTTCCTGCTTCCCATGTGTGTGTGTAAAGATACCCAGGAAAGCAGAGAGTTTTTAAAAATACAAATGTTGGTGCCATATCTCCAGAAGTGGGGTGGACTTTTGCAGGATTTATATGGGCAAACTTCTTCTCTTCAGCTGTTCTCTCCAGAAATCCCAGCCAGCATACCAGCTTTTAGGAATTATGGAGCCGGATAATGATAAAATTTGAGTTACCTAACACCTAGCTTACACAGATATTTGTCTGATCGAGCCAGAATTGTTATGTGACCTGTAGGAATGGAAAGATTATTTCAAAGCATCCCTTCACACTGCAAAAAAATCCTGAAAAATATGTTTGATGTTGTGATTTCAAGCATCCTGATGGCAGTCTTCACAGTTCTTAACTTATCCTGCACAAAGTTCACTCGTGATGGATTGCACAAAAAACAGTGTTTTGTCTTCAGGAAACAGAAAATATTTCTGTATGGTACTGTTTTCTGTACAAAAACATGTTCCTTATGCAGAAAATGTTGCAACTGGGGGCATTCTATGTGAATTTTACAGAATTGCTATGAACTGAATGCAACTTGCTCGACACAGAAAACAGTTTTTTTAATGCAGAAATCATATTCTACATGGAAAAAAACTGTTTGAATTTCAATTTTTTTTCTTTCAGCAAGAAGAAAACTGCTAAAATTACTCATTGCTTCCTTTAAGAAGAACATAGTGAAGAATTATATCCCTGATTACCTGCTAGAGTGGAATACATAACTGTACCTGTTAGAAGAACACACAACTCCATCCTTTCTTCTAGCAGAAAATCAAGATGTGAAGACTTAGGGGGATTTGGAGTGGGCATGCCTGTCTGAAGTTGCTTAGTATATGTAGTCTGGGCTACCAGACTCTTTAGATATGGCTTTGAAGTTCTTAAAATGGCCTGGAGAAAACTAGCCAACCAATGCAGTTTCTTCTCCATTGCATTGATATTGTAATAGAAAATAGCATCCACTCACAGAAAGTCCTGCTTTGGATGGAACGTGACAACTATACAGTTGCTTACAGCTGAAGTCTTGTCCTAAACCAGTTTAATTCCCATCAGCCATCCAAATTGGGTCTCATCACTACATGAATTCTCCCTTATTTCCAATAAGTTATTCCCCCATGTGAAATGTGGCATCTTTTTTCTTCTTCTTTTCCCCTAATAATTTAAAACACCGTTACTTTATTTCAGGAGCTGAAATTTAAGTGGAGGAAAGTTTCAGAGTTTTGTTCCTTGTTCAGAACAGAAGGAAATACCTCAAATTGCTGTGTGTTTCTCTATCTCTTCCTCATTCTTTCTGTCTCTCTTTCTGCGCGGAGAACTAGTTTTGTGGTCCGTAAAAGACAGGCTCCTCCTCTAGTTGCAGTTCCCTCATTTCTGACTAGTAAAACGCACAGCTGAGAAGGCTGACGATGGCATCCCATAAGCATCCAGAGTTTAGCTTCTCTTTCCTGCTTTCCGCACAATAAACAACTTGCAGTATAAGCATCCACACAGCGTGCATTAGAAACATCAGCCGAAATCCTGCATTGGGAGATGTACATGAATCATAAAACTATGCTCTGCAGATATGTCTACCTATGCCAGCCCCACAAAACTCTCCCTATACACACTCCTGCTCTCTCACCAATATGGCCATGTCCAAGTTGTCAAAGAGCAGAGGGAGAAGCAAGGATGTTGCCAGCTGTTTTCTTGCAGCTGGTTTTGCTGTAATGCATTTACAGAGGCTTCTGAGTGTCCTCCCATGCTCTGCAGATGATGCTTTTGGAAATGGCTGGATATATCCCTGTTATCTTCCATTGTCCAACAACATGGAAATGACCTTCCAAGTACATGTTTGCCAGTACTACAAAGGCACCTACATGTTATGTTTTTGAGACCCTTTGGGGAGACAGGGTGGGTTATATATAAAGTGGTATTATTATTATTATTATTATTATTATTATTATTATTATTAAGCATGCGGCATTCAATGTTTGCCTTTTGCTCCGGAAACTGCCCTGAGTCCCTTCGAGGACAGATGGCAGGTTAGAAATAAATTATTATTATTATTATTATTATTATTATTATTATTATTATTACAACATGACTTGATGAATCTGGGCCAAACTTAGTGCACATAGCCTTCATTATCCAACTTAAAATAATTGAGTTGAACTAAAAAAAAACTCACCTATTTCAGGTCCAGAGCTGAGAGAAAGAAAAGGAATAAGGTGGATGGCTTGTGGCTGGGGTGAAGTGGCCCTCTGTTATAGGACTGGGAAAGAAAAGGGAGTGAAGCAAATTGGCTGCTGTGGGGTGACATGTATGAGGGGAAAAGAGGGCAGGAGGGAAAAAAAGAAAAGGAGGGAGGCAAGGAAAAAAAGGAGATGAAGCTAAAACAAAGGGAAAGAGTATGAGGGAAAGCAAGGGAAGAAGGGAAAAGAAAGAAAAAAGGGAGAAGGGAAGTGGAGGAAGGGAAGAAAGAGCCACAATGAAAAGGCATACACGGGCAAAGCCAGGTATATACACTAGTAATAATAATAAAAACAAGAAGAATCCTGTTTCAAGCAGTTCCAAGTGAAAAGCTTCTGACTATCAAAAACAATTCTTTCATATTCAGATTTTTATGAGAACAACTGTCCTCCATGGCCATTTTCTTGAATTGTGTTTACAATGGAATCATTTGCAAAATCTCGCCAATCCTTGAGTTTTACTATGGACCTTGTGCTGTGATCCTTGCTGACACAAGGTCCACTCTTTTGCCCAACAGTTCCTACCAACAGATGTCTTAAAATGATGGGATGCCATGTTAAAAGGAAGGAGTAATTTGCTCAGTGCATCAAAGTTATTGTCTGATGTTGAAGAACTTCAGCAAGAATGGAAATGCTCTGCTCGAGAATGCGGGGGTGATGTTTATTTTTTGTAAAACATAAAAAGATGCAAGTTCGGGAGTGGGTGGCAATACTTGCTTGCTATACTTGTCATATTTAGTCTGTTCTCCAATTGGCACAGGTACAAAGCGCCTGTGGAATCCAGTCACAAATATACAGCGAAGGCCAAAAGCAGTGTGTTGCCTCTTCAGATTATGAAGTCAAACCTTTATCTCCATATATATGACCTGCCAACCCTTCAGCCAAGATGCCAATTTTTTGTAAGTTTTCTTTTCCCAGCAAAGAAATGCAAGCATATTTTTGTTACTTCTAATCATTTTTTCCTTTAGAAAAGAATTGCAATTGGAATATTTTTAAGTAAAATGCTTGTAGTTTCAAATCAACTCATTTGAAATTTAGTGCTGGAGATGGACAGCTTACTTACTTGTAACTAGTTGTTCAGTGGTGATCTGTGAACTCAGACAAATGAGTTTACCTGCCTCTGAATCATTTGAAACCTTGTTGGGGGGGGGGGCGGTAATATCGCCCACTCCCTACCAGATGAGCAGCACGCCTCAAGCCTAAACCCTCAGTTCCATGGATGCCACAACATAAGCAATCATCCCTTTTGCCAAGACACAAGAGGGAATTAGAGTAACTTATCTTTCTCAGGATTTTTTCCAGCACACTCAGCACAATTTTGAAAGTACTCACAGAAGCCATAACAACAGAATAGGAAACACCAAACCCAAAGGTGATGCAAAACCATCATCAGAAAGTCAGAATAAGAAAGATCTGACAGAAACACAAAATCAAAACTCTTTGTCAGTGTAAGATCAAAGGCCAACAAATTCCGATATAAATGAACTATCACTCAGAAAGTTCCTATGACAGAGTTACAGTTAATAAAAAAGAACTAAGGGTTTCATTGGGAAACACTCGTGTATGGCACATGGGGAGTGGGTGGGATTACTACCAAAGCAATAAATGATGCCCTGTGCTGGCAGAGCTAAACCCATTTGTGTAAGTCAAAGAGACCATGAAAAAGAAAGCTAAAACCAGAAATAAATGGGTCTTGGAGCTAATAAAGCTTGATCTGTCCTGACACATTAAGACAACAAAATTGAGGCTGTCATACTTTGGACATTTTATGAGATTGTGTAACTTATTGGAAAAGATCACAGTGCTGCATAAAGTAGAAGGCAATTAAGAAATGCATAAAGGCCAAACTGCAGGTGGATTGATTCAATCAAAGAAGCTGCAGCCCTGATTTTGCAAAACCTGAGCAAGGCAGTTGATGACCAGGGATCTTAAAAGGTCTCTCATTCATTGGGTTGCCATAAGTCAAAGTCAACTTGAAGACAAATGATAACAACAGTTTCATATTAGAAGATTGGCTACAGGGTGTCATGGTGAACTTACAAACCAAATTTGAGAAATCTTTAGTCCAGGATTTTCCAACTGTGCCACCATAGTTGAAAAGAATTTAAAACCAAACCTGCAACTTGTGCGTTTAAAAAATACACCTGGTTGGAAAAGAACACAAATAGTACGCATGCCCAATTCTGTTGCAGAGCTTCTGGTTCAAGGTAGAACAATGCTAAAGGGCCAAACTCACAATTTTTTTTACAGCCAGGAAATTTCCTTCCACATACTGAGACACACACATACCTGGGTTTTCAGAGTTAAAAGGACTGACAGAATTAATACTGTGGCTTTCCCTTTTGACTTTAAGGCCAGTTAAGGACTTTATGAAAAAAGCAAATCATTCAAAGGATGCTATGTCCACCAAACCAGAACTTCAGACAAAAGCAGTGTGAAATATAATTATGCAGACTTAAAACATGACCGCCTATAGACTTGCATTTTCAAAACCATGTGCTCCTTTATTCACAGGAACAGCTCATTCTTCAATTAAAATTTTATTAGTTTGTTCATTTGCAATTGTACATGTAACAAAACCAAAAAAAACGGGCACAGAACGTTAGAAGCAGCAAAGAGAGGGAGATGCAATCCAAACCACTCGTGAGATAGATTTATAACTTTGCAAAAGAGACTCTCCAGCCACAAAGCTAAATTCTTTGCTCCTACTGTTTTCCTTGCCCCTTGCCTGCCTTAGCTAAGTGAGTGATGGTGGTACATCTTAATATTCAATTGTTCTAGTTTTAAATGCCACAGCTTTCCTTCCACCCACAGCAGCTTTGCTCTACATTTCCCTGTCGGGTCCCTTCTGGTCCTTCTCTTAACATTACATGAGACCTCTTCTGCCAGCCTCCAGGATTTCTCTATTGATGACACCCCAGAAGTTGTATGTCTGTTCATTGGGCAGGTCATTTTCCTCATTCTATGGCTGGCTTGTCTTCCTTTTCTCCACATGTCCAAACTAAGTAAATGATGGAGCATAACCCTTTCTCAAAAGTTGTGATGCTGAATACAAAGGCAGTAGCGTTTCTAGAACATACAAACTAGGAATGCCGCCCCATCCTCTTGAGAAGGCCAGAAATCTCAAACAGAATTCTCAACAAACTTCAGTTTACTTGAAAGGTAGAAGACAGAACAAATCTGACAGGTATAATACATGGCTTGCTTCAATCTTACAATCACAAAGCTGGAATAGGGAGCTAGAGAACAAGGCCTCTTTCTGTAACCCACCATTAAGTGCTAGGTAAGGTGAACCTACTAATGGAGAAAGTCCTCATGAAGATCCTCTTCAGTGTCATTTGTTGCTAGGTATCCCTCAACAGAAACGCCTTTCTTTTGAAGCACCTTGCAAAGGTGAAAACTTTCATAGAAACAAACGTGAATCATTCACTCATAGAAACATCTATGACATATATAACATATTCAAACTGTTTTGAAGTTGGTTTATGCTCACCCCTCCTTCACAAAAAGAAACTCCCCTGCAAGTTGTACTTTGAGAACAGCCTGATCTCCAGGCAAAGGTGAAACAAGTTTAAACTGGTAGGCGTCACTTGCAATGGCAGTTAAAATGACATCCTATGGATCTGAGAGTGAGACACATGTTCGTCAGAGCTTCTGAAAGAGGCAACTGGAAACAAGGAAAGTCACAAGAAGCCATCGCACATTCCAAGATTCAAGACTAGATGCCTGGCCAACAGTTGAAAAAAAAAAAGACCAAAAAGATTTAATACTGATTAAGATGAGAAACTCCAAAGGTGGTCAGTCCACATAAATTCTCCACTTGGCACCCTCCCAGCTTCTATTCCCAGCTGTTGCCATTCCATTCCTAGGCATGAAACACAGCTGGGCCTGCCGCACCTGGACGATGTACAGGGCACAAAGTAACATCGGTGACAAAAAAAATATATAAAATTTGCTGGCGGTGTTAGTGGGAATGTATGGCGGAGATCTGACCCAGATTTGACTGTTGCTGCTCTTGTCACAGTCGTCTCAGCAGAACTGCAAGAGGTCGGTAGGATTTAGAGAGCAAAGGAAGAGGATTTAGAGAGCAAAATATTTTCCCCAACCCTTTTCTGTTTTGGATGGAGGACAAGAGAAAAGAATTCACAGAAGCAAATGAATTAGGGTGGATGTTTTGCATTTTGTAGATGACAGGCCGGAGACTGAGGTTTCTTATTGTAGTGAAACATTGGCAAAGGAGGTGTGCAACTTATAAAGGAGAAGAGGACTAAGTGTGAGACTGAGCTCATCCATTACAGGCATTCAGGTCCACCGAGCATTACCCATGGATACAGAAATTCTGTATTGACATTGTACGGAATTCAAAAATCACATCCACATTCGTGTCTTAAACTGACTTAACAATTCTCTCTCCTCTCCCCTGGTTATAAGCTTATGGGGTGGAGAAATATATATAATTTTTAGCCCCCAACCCACCCAGGACTTATAAATCTTAAGATTCTTTTCAGAAGTACCATAACAAACTATTATATAAATTGGAAACCACACTATGTGGTTGGAGGCTGCCACCAGAATGCAAGTAACTCTCCATTCAGTTCAGTGAGTCAAAGCAGCATTTAGGCCGCTGATTCTTGAACTGAGAGTAGAGGTGGAGAGGAGGGATCTCAAAACCAATTTGAAATACGGCTTTTGTAGTTCAAAAACTGGGCAGAGAAGTGAATATATCTTAAAGTACGTGCAAACTTTAGCTACCCATTCAGACATTATTTTGATCTTAACCTTTCTTATCAAAATATCAACATTCTCTGTTGTAAATCCAAACAGATGACCTGCTTCAAGGTTAAACTACCTTTTACAGTGGATTGTGCATCCCCTAAGGATCTTTTTGAGTCCCCCAAATGAGAGAAATAATGGAAAGTGTATTTAAAATGCTCCTTAGTTCCTTAGTCAATGTGCCCCCCTCAAACTTTTGTCAATCTCTCACACCTACTTTAGAGGCAGTCCTATGATTTTTTTCCATCAAAATCTCTGGAAAATGTTCAAGAGATTGCCTGCATGACTAGTACAGAACTGGAGTTATGAAGGTGTTGCCTAGTCCTTTCACTTTATGCTGTTTTGTCTGCCAACACCCTCTCTCTACAATCTGCTTTGTCCCTTGTGGGTGGGAAACCACAGAGAAGGAAGAGGAATGAACAACGTGCCTAGCAGGAGAAAAATTAAGTGCCACCCGACCACCCAGTCTTCTAGTCAATCTCTGAGCTACACTTATGCCAGAACTCTGTGCTACATACACATTGGCCCTTAGAATGTATTTTTATATGGCATCTAATTGTGTCGATTTGTATGCTGCCCTGAGTCGCCTTCGGGCTGATATGGGCGAGATAAAAGTGACGTAAATAAAGTAATAAAAATAGAATTAAAACACATAAGTGAATAATGCTTACCTTCCAGCGGTTCCCACATTCATTACACACAACAAAAGTGGTCATTGGCTCGTCTGAACTGCGAGTTTGTAGCTGTGTGAATGGAGACACAAAAAAAATCCGAAGATGAAGGCATCTTAATCACCAAGATTGCAGAGAAGCAATCTTTCCCCATCACCTTCCATTTTGCATACCATAGTCTGTCAGATTTTATAAATCCAAGTCTGACCAAATGCAAACCAACACACTGACTCAAATCAAACTACTATTCTTTTACAACCCCAATGTATCACAAATGGGACCTAAAAGCACTCTCTTTCAATAAAGAAGAAAAGGATCCTGCCAAATCAAGCCAAAAGTCCATCTAATCCAGCCTTCGTTTTGTAACCATACTCAGCTTGTGAAACCCAGAATAAGATCCGAAGGGCAGAGGGAGGCTGCCTCTTGTGAAGAACTTTTTGGTTTTCAAGACTCATAGCCATTATCCTTTACCTTCTTAAACCCAAAAAAACCATTTCCAAAGCCACACAAAGCAACTGTCAATGGCTTGTGACCTGTGGTGGCGGTGCATTTTATGTACCAGTGTGTTTGGAAGGGGGAGGGGGGAATGGAGAGGGGTGTCTACCCCAGACCTACTACAAACCAGTTTCCATGGCTACTCCAAGTTCTAGAAGGCGAGAACCAAAAAGAAAGACATTATTTCATAATGTTATAGCCCTCTATTTATACTCCTCTCCCCAAGCTGGAGGAAAAAGCACACCAGTCTGTGGATCATTTTGAGTATAGCAACACCTAGATGCATCTGTGGCATTTAAAACTGAGCTCAATGTACAAGAGCAGATCAATTTAAAAACAAAACACACTGGCATTTCCCCTATGGGAGCATAGTGAAGGGCTTGAAGCACATTAACTGTCAGGGTTCAAGTCTATGAAATTCTTGAATTTGAAGTTTTGTGAGCGAGTGACCCTTCTCTGTCAGATAGCTCTGGTGCCAAAACCAACTACAAATCCCAGGATCCCATATGATGGAGCCATGGAAGTGAAAGATTTGTCAAATTGCTATAATTCTGCAGTGTGTATGAGGCCAAGATCTCTGACAAATATAGAAATCGTGGGAATTATTATTTAGGATGGGGTGATATATTCATTAGTTCATTTCTACAGAAACGTAATCATGGTTTTCTTTTTTTGGTTGTGTCAGGAGCATCCTGTTGTGAGAGAATTGGCCATCTGCAAGGACGTTGCCCAGGGGACACCCGGATGATTTTGATGTTTTATCATCCTTCTGGGAGGCTTCTCTCATGTCCCCGCATGAGGAGCTGGAGCTGATAGAGGGAGCTCATCTGCCTCTCCCCAGATTCGAACCTGCAACCTGTCAGTCTTCAGTCCTGCCGGCACAGGGCTTTAAACCACTGCGCCACCGGGGGCTCCCTGTAATCATGGTGAATTACAGCTTCAAGCACTTCTCCATTCCAAAAATATGTTCCAAATTGACCCTTAGTGAGATCAAGAGTTCAAGGGATGTCAGAGACTTGTAAAATTGAAAGCAATTAAAACAACTAGCCTCTGTGAGCCCTGTTACCTCTCTGAAACAAGTTTACTGGCAAGATTTTGCTCAATAATTCACAGCAAGAACATGTGAGTGGGTTTGGTCACTCTATATGTCTCAACAGATCTGGCAATTACCAGACCTTATTTTCCACAGAGAGGAATACAGCCTTGATTCTCCAGTTAATGTCAACATCCATATGGGGAAGCAAAACAGCTCCACTTTGGGCAGATTCCTTAGAAGGAAAGAATACTGTGGGCACTAATAGGGTGATTAGCTGGTCTTTTAAGTTTAACTGTAAAAATTAGGACTCTCACTTGGGTGTAGATACAGTTCTTCTTCCTACATTTTCCACAGGTGAAGAGATCAGTCTGGGTCCCTCCTGTTTTAGCCATTTGATGTTCCCGGATAGCCTCCTTGGTCATGGCTTTCCGGATCTCCTTCAGCTCATTGCTGGCCATTTCCTTTCAGAGAATGAGTACAAGAACATCAGGTCACTCTGCTTCATTGATGTACCAACACTTTTGGTGCATCCCAATTAGAAGAATTCAAAGCTAGTTGCATTTGTCCCAAATCATCAGAAACTGCCACCCAACAAATCACTAGTTAGTCTTGATGCTGCAGGTCGTTTCAGATAGCTATCCTAATCTAATGTAAACAGCAGTTGGATCACAACATCTAGTCTAGTGGTTCTCAACTTTAGGATCCTCAGGTGTTTTACATGCCCACTCCAATTAGACCTTTGTCTGTGCTGATTGGAAGCCCAAACATCTAGAGAAGCAAAGGGTAAGAAACACTAATTTCAGTCCATCATCCTATCTCTTCCAGCGGGGTTTCTGTAAGAGGATAATATGACTGTTACCTTTCTTGGCTCTTTTTACTGCTGCACTGAGTAATCTTCCCTATCAACAGTAGCTATTGACAATTTTGAAAGTTCTGCTTTCATACAGAGATGGAACTGGTCACCCTGTACTTCTCAGCTCTTCACCTCACCTCTGAAGTCATCACTGCAATTTGTTCTGGAGTGATCACTCCGCACAAGACATTCTTTCGGAGGTCAGGATTCTTAGAGTCCTTTAGATTGGAGATGCGGCTCCTAACACGGTTTTTGTACTTCAAGTCTGTGTTCTTGACATCTTGGTATATAAGTTCAAAAGCCATTAAGGAGCATCCTAATAGACTTTTGGCTTGCCTGAGCTCCATACCCAAAGGCCCCGAGTGCTCAGTGCCAAGACTAAACCAGCAAAGAAGTCCTGCAACTGTGGCAGTGAGAGAGACCATCTTAGGAAGTAGCCATCTAGAAAGTGATTCCAATAGGTACCTCCACATTTGAAGGTGAATGCTGCAGTATCATAAATATTTTATCCTTATCCTTGTACTCGGTCCCGAGATGTTCCTCAATTTTGGAAATTACTCTTTCATTGCAACGTTTATCTCAGAAGCATATTACTGCTCAATTGGAACATACACCTTAAGAGCAGAGCATGCCCTCTTCAACTAGGGATGGCGCTTTTTAAGACAGGCAAGGTCTAATATGAATCACTCTGGCAGTACTATTGCCTCCACAAGGCTCCAGACAAGACCTGAGTAATACTGAGTAACCAAGGTTGTGTTATTGTCTCCCCTGATTCTCACTGTTTTGCTCTAGCAAACATTCTTCAACATTCAAAGATCCTTTCTTGGCAGAAATATTGTTGGTGCCCACAAAAGCTTAAATTTCCCAGGATCCTCTAGAGTACTACATACCATAGTAGAGAGGAAGCCTTACACACAAGAATGGGGAGCTTGCATTAGAGATAACAGCACTCTCCCCCACCCCAACACACACACATATATATGTATGTATGTATGTTGCTTTTCACTGGCATGAAAGGATATATTCTTCAATTTGAGCTGCCAAGTCTTCACAGTCAGCACCGATGGCAACATAGTCATCTGTAAAGAAATAAGAAGCAAACTAAACAAATGGCCCCAGCAGGTAGGGAGAATACCAAAACAAGCAGCTTTAGGTCTCACTACATTTCACTGAAGATGAAATACAGTAATACACTGCACACATTTCAGGCTTGCTGGGGGTAAATTCCTTGCGATATTGCAAAAAAAAAGAAGAAGACATTTGAAGCACATAATGTAGTTGGATCACATAAAAACAAACAGAATTCATACATAAGAAAACACATTAATCCTGAATAGATCTTGGAGGAGAACAAAGTACTATAAAGCTGTGTCAAGTGGAACATAGGCATCTCTCCTCTCTCACCTTCCAAGCCACAACTTTCCGTTGCGGCTGTCATCTCCAAACATAGCTAATGCCTAACTGGCAGAGAGGGAGGCCTTGAAGGAGCAGCCAGCTCAAGGCAGTAGCTGTGTTAGGAGGAGAGGTTGCAACTGGAGGCTGGAGAATGCAATGTGAGGAAAGACACATACCTTTGACCAGTTTGAAACAGATCTGCTCCAAAGTCTTGTAAGACTTAAAGCTACAACAGCCCAATCCAAGAGCCCCCTCTCACATTCGGGCCACACTGCCTTTGAGCATAGGAGAACCAAAAGGATGGTCTCCCCCAAATACCTTAAGACTCAGTCAGTATAGAACAGGTTTCATTCTTTCAAATAGCCATACCAAGTTATGCACAGCTTTATAGACTACAAACAAAACTCTGAATTGTGCCCAGAAACTAACCAACTAGCAGCCAGGTACATTAATACATTGTCAAGAGAACTATCTGTCTCCCTCCATATTCTAAGTGAACTTCATAGAATCCTAGAGTTAGAAGAGACCTTGTGGGCCATCCAGTCCAACCTCCTGCCAAGAAGCAGGAAAATTACATTTAAAGCATCCCGACAGATGGCCATCCAGCCTCTGTTTCAAAGCCTCCAACGAAGGAGCCTCCACCACACTCCGGGGCAGAGAGTTCCACTGATGAACAGCTCTCACAATCATGAAGTTCTTCCTCATGTTCAGGTGGAATCTCTTTTCCTGTAGTTTGAAGCCATTGCTCCGTGTCCTAGTCTCCAGGGCAGCAGAAAACAAGCCTCCACCCTCTTCCTTATGACTTCTTCTCACATTCCAGGTGTGGTATGACCAAGGCAGAATAAAGGTGGAGCATTACTTCCCTGGGTCTAGACCTAGATTCTTATTTATGTAGGCGAAAATCCCATTGGCTTTTTTAGCCACCACATGGCATAGTTGGTTCATGTTCACCTTCCTCTCCACAAGGACTCCAAGATTTTATTTTCTCATTTACTGCTTTTGAGCCATGCACCCCCCATTCTGTTTCTTTGCATTTAATTTTTTTTTGTCTAAGTGGAGTATCTTGCATTTGTCCCCACTGAACTTTTTTTTTAGTTTTGGCCAATAATCTCTCTAATCTGTTAAAATTATTTTGAATTTTCCTCCTGTCTTTTGGAGTACTGGCTTATCCCTCCCAATTTGGTGTCATCTGCAAACTTGATGATCATACTTTCAACCCTTTATCCAAGTCATTAATAAAGGTGTTGAACAGAACTGGACCCAGGATGGAACCCTGCTCATAGCACTCCACTCACCACATCTTTCCAGGATGCAGAGGAAGCATTGGTGAGCACCCTCTGGGTTCGTTCACTTAACCAAATACAGATTCAGCTAACTATAGTTTTGCCTAGCCCACATTTCACTTGTTTGTTTGCCAGAAGGCCACGAGGGACCTTGTCAAAGGCATCACTGAAATCCAGATATGCTACATCCACTTGAGGTGAACTGGAGAAAATTATCACTTGCATCTGCTATAAAGGCAGACACTTTCCTTATTAACACTTTATTTTAAAAAGTAGATTGAAAAAGAGTTGTGAGGCATCTTTAAGACAAATCAAAAAATCAAAGAATCAAAGAGTTGGGAGAGACCTCAGGGGCCATCCAGTCCAACCCCCTGCCAAGAAGCAGGAATATTGCATTCAAATCACCCCTGACAGATGGCCATCCAGCCTCTGTTTAAAAGCTTCCAAAGAAGGAGCCTCCACCACACTCCGGGGCAGAGAGTTCCACTGCTCAACGGCTCTCACAGTCAGGAAGTTCTTCCTCATGTTCAGATGGAATCTTCTCTCTTGGAGTTTGAAGCCATTGTTCCGCGTCCTAGTCTCCAGGGAAGCAGAAAACAAGCTTGCTCCCTCCTGGCTTCCTCTCACATATTTATATATGGCTATCATATCTCCTCTCAGCCTTCTCTTCTTCAGGCTAAATACTTGTATCTTGACATGAGTTTAATTTATTACATTCTTCCTCAGATGAACTGATGGAGTACAATATTAAGATATCAGATATGTATATTAACTACCCAATTAGACTACTGAAATATATTTTACATGGGGCTGACCTTGAAGATTACTCTAGGGCTGCAACTAGTGCAAAAAACAGCAGCCATCTTACTGACAAGGACATACTATAGAAATCATAAAACACATTTCGAAAGAGTTTCACTAATTGCCAATAAATATCTGGTTTGAATTCTAGATGCTGATGATGAAATTCAAAGCCCTAAATGGCCTGGGACCTTAGTATGAGAAGGAGTGGTTCCCTGTAAACACATATGCCCAATTATTAATATCAGCTGGGATGGCCTCCTTTGTCCCACTGAAGGGAACTATTTCTAATTGGCAAATTAGTGATTCTAAAAAGACAATCAGTCTATGTGAGGAGTAATACCATGGCAATGTGGGTGCCAGACTGCTCTGCTGTGCCCTTCCAAATGGGGAATATCCTCTTATTGGAGACCTGATTGGCATCAAAATTGGTGGTATTCTGCCATCAAGTTGCACCATAGCTTTTAATCAAAACTTCTGGATTAAGTATGCTGTATTACTGAACTACAGTTCATCTTCATACTCTTATCTAACTAGCTACTGTTCTTCAAGGAGTTCAAGAATCTGAATATGGTGTGGGAGTTATTAGTGAGAAGAACCCCAGAGTTCAGTGGTGGTCTCTATGAACATTGTCAAATGCACGGTATTTCATAATGCCAAGACTCAGGGATATAAAGAGGAGAAATGCTACACACCTGCTCTCCTGTTACTTACTGTCTGTTTGTAGAGCAGAAGTCAACATTTCTCTACATTTGTTACGTACAGTGTCACATGTGATAGGCACTGGCGGAAAGGTGGTGATTTTGGGAGTGGTGGGAGTCTTCGGCAGGTCCTGCCTTTTAATGGAGCTAGAAGAGAAAACTACTTGGTCAGAAGTTCTCCACTCACACTATGAAAGACAAGTCACAAAGATCTAATACAAACGGGAGAAGTGTCTAGTTTAGATTGGTCCACTGTCCACATGGGGCAACTGTCACACCCTTTCTCCTAACTTCATTGGTTCCCTGCTTCTGGCCGTATGGATATCTCTGCCGATAACACCAAGGATGTCCATGATGGCCAGGTCACACAGGGCTCAACAGACAGGGAGCACCAAAGGAAGCACAGATGACTAGTAATCATCCAGTGGGGCTGATGTGTTCTCAGCTTAGCTGGACTGCAACCCACCACTACGGTACATCTCTCTTTTATTATGCCTTTTAAAGTGATTTAAAGTGGCCATATTGGGGGCAGCAAATTCCATACACAAATGATGCTCTCTGTGAAGAATTATTTCCTTTTCTTGGCCCTAAACTTCCAACCAAAAAGGTCAAACATTTTTGTTTGTTTTTAAATAATTTATTTTACTTACATATCATACTAATTTAATTTTGTAGACTAGTGTAAATGTTTAGGTGGAAAATAATATAGCAATACTGGACAGAATTAAGAAGAATATTTAGCATTTACTTCCTAAGGATCCAAGAGAAGGAGATCTTGTATAAGCCCATTACAGCTGGCCATGCCATATCCATAGATCTTATATCCACAGATTCAACCATGCATGGCTTAAAAATCTTCCAAATGACATTGGAAATAATAGAACCATAGAGTTGGAAGAGACCTTGTGGGCCATACAGTCCAACCTCCTGCCAAGAAGCAGGGAAATTGCATTCAAAGCACCCCTGATAGATGGACATCCAGCCTCTCTTTCAAAGCCTCCAAAGAAGGAGCCTCCACCACACACTGGGACAGAGAGTTCCACTGCTGAACAGTTCTCACAGAAGGTTCTTACTCATATTCAGGTGGAATCTCCTTTCCTGTAGTTTGAAGCCACTGTTCCATTGTGTCCTAGTCTCCAGGGCAGCAGAAAGCAAGCCTGCTCCCTCCTCCCTATGACTTCCCCTCACATATTAATACATGGGCCTCATCATGTCTCCTCTCAGCCTTCCCTTCTGCAGGTTAAACATGCCCAGTACTTTAAGCTGTTCCTCATAGGGTTTATTCTCCAGACCCTTGATCATTTGAGTCGCCCTTCTCTGGACACATTCCAGCCTGTCAACATCTCCCTTAAATTGCAGTGTCCAGAATTGGACACAGTGTGATTCCAGTTGTGGGCTGACCAAGGCAGAATAGAGGGTAGCATGACTTCCCTGGATCTAGACACTATGCTCCTTTTTATACAGGACTAAATCCCATGGGTTTTTTGGCTGCCACATGACATTGTTGGCTCATGCTTAACTTGTTGTCCATGAGGACTCCAAGATCTTTTTCACACGAACTGCTATTGAGCCAGGCATCCCCCATTCTGTATCTCTGCATTTCATTTTTAGTCAATGTAATAATGTCATTGTAATGTATTAAATAGTTTTCATTATAAAGCAAACATATATATTTTTTAAATTACCCTTTATCCCCCCCCCCATCTAAAAAACAAAGCTTGATTTTGCCTTTTTATATAATAGATATCATTTTACTACACCATTGTACATGATGGGAACATCCATACATTTATGTAATCAAGTTGTGTATCTTTGAATCACATCCCAGTGAATACCATGGGCTTATTGTACTATGAAGCATTTCCCAATGTCGTTGTGTGCCTTAAAGTCATTTATTGTGTATAATGACTAAGCTGTCTCTCACTATGGAAATACAATATAATACAAATGTTCTATGTCCTACACATGATCAACAGCAGTTTCTGGAATAATATAATCTTCTCAGTTGCTGTGACATAGGCAAGAAAGAGGAGGGCTTCAGAATCTACAAACCATCTGAATGAGGAAGAAGGTGTATAGGAGGTCTCTTGCACAGTGCCAGTTGATGGTGTCATGTAATACAGGCTTCCAGAAACCTTTACACTGCCACAGTATAATGTGTCTGTCCTAAGTAAGCAAGCCTCATTATTCTGACCAAAATCCAAGTCCTTATTAGCTTCACTGTGTGAATGGGATTTATAGGCGTGTAGACTTAACACTGAGCAATCAGTCAAGTAGATGTATTCAATTGACTAGCAACTGGATGTAGATCTCTCTCTGACAATTGCTCCTGATATCCATGGATCAATGGATCCATCAGATAATGTGAAATGGGTCCCTTAGATAGATGTGAATATGAACCCTAGAACCTAAAACACCAGTCACTGCCCTATGTACTACAACTACAGTTAGAACTATCTCAACTAGGCTTCCAGTTGGGAATTACATGAACAATAAATAATGTTATGCTGAAGGGCCCTTTAATGGAGGAACCATAGTTCAATTGATTATGGCCACATACACAGCCATTTTCACATCCCTACCTCCGAGCAATCCTAATGTCATTGGCTTTGACGGGTAAGTGCTTAAAACTATGTTGCACCATCTTCAGATAAAGTGGTTCTCAACCTGGGGTCCCCAGATGTTTTTGGACTTCAACTCCCAGAAATCCTAACAGCCGATAAACTGGCTGGGATTTCTGGGAATTGTAGGCCAAAAACATCTGGGGACCCCAGGTTGAGAACCACTGATAAACACATCTATACTGATGCTAAATGGTCAGTAAAAAAATGATGTGCTCAACAAAGCCATATGGCAAAGCTTCTTAATATTTTGGCATAAAGTTGCAACACTGATCTGGATAGGACTGATATTCCAAGTATGAAAAAAATCTGCAACTGAATACTAAAAGCTAATTGATCTTTATACAGCTGTTCTAATTTGATGGAATAGTCCAGTTTACAAACAGGCTACTGTTGTAGTGTGTCTTCAAGTTGTTTCTGACTTGTGGTAACCCTAAGGCAAATCAATCACAGGGTAGTTGTTTTTCTTGTAGAATTTGTTCAAGGGAGAGTTGCCTCTGACTTCTTCTAAGGCCAAGTGTGTCTTGCCCAAGGTCATCCAGTAGTATTCAATGGCTGAACAGGGGTTCAAACCCTAGTCCCCCAGTTTCCTAATCCAATATGAAAACACCACCCCAGCTCTCAATGCAAAAAGTTCAAAAATGTAGAAACTGCTCCAGTGCTGTAGTTTAAATATCCCAGTACACCATCCATTAGGAAGAAACTTAATGGGTACATATAGCTTAAGCACCATGACAACTGCATTTTAGCCACCTTGGGTCTTTTCTTTCCCTACAGGTTTCCTGCAAAATGTGAGGTTAATGAATGACATGAAAATTGAGTAAGCTTGTTTTTGCTGCTCCAGAGACCAAGGACTTGTCTATATTGGCCAGTTATTTTGCGACCAGTCCAGCACAGAAGTGCTCCAGACTAGCCGCAGAGGTGTCTACTCACTCCATGCCCAATCTATGGTGGTAGGGTGGAGTCTACATGGCTAAGCAGGGCCAAAACCAATTAAGCCCAGTTGGACGGGCACCTTCCCTTCCCTATTGCTATCGCCAATGCCAGAGTTCCTGGTCATCATAGGCATCCTATGCAGACATTAGTAGAAGCAACCACATGACCACAAAGCAGGAGTTTAATAAGAGCTGTTTGACAGTCAAACATGCTGCTGTGATGTGTAGTGGAGTCTCCTTCTCTGGAGGCTTTCAGAGGCTGGATGGTCATCCATTGTGAATGCTTTGATTATGCATTCTGTAAGGCAGAAGAGGGTTGGATTGAATGGCCCTTAGGTCTCCTCCCCCTACTGTTATTCTCCTCCCCCCAACTTTTATCCCCCCCCCCCATCTGCTTTCATTAGATGGTTGCACTGGATGGCCCTCGTGGTTTCTTCCAACTCTACGATTCTTCCAGCTCTGTGCATTGACAGTATTCTCTTCTAATAGTGTAAATCTAGAATGAGCATTAGTTTAAATGGATGGTGTACTGCGATTTTCCTGCTTCTTGGCAGGGGGTTGTACTGGAAGGCCCACAAGGTCTCTTCCAACTCTATGATTCTATGATTCTTCCAACTCTGTGCACTGACAGTATTCTCTTCCAATACTAAGATTCATTAGCTTAAATCTAGGATGAGCATTAGCTGAAATCCAGGACTAGCACCTCTGTAACTCCAGAACATGACTTCCCTCAGCTTGTGAAAGAGAATGGGCTTGATCAATGATTGAACAGCAGGTTGAATTTTCAGCCATGTACCCCATCAGTCATTACAAGGTGAACACTTTTGTTTGTGGGTTTTTTGCCACAAGCATTTGGCAACAACTCTGAGTACAGTATTTTCTATTGGGCTTCAAAATTCAAAATTTTAAAATAAAATAAATAGACTTCAAGTGCAGACCTGAAGTCTGGCTTTAAAAGCTCACAGCTTGCAATACCACTCAAACAAGTAAAATGGGTTAAGACATAATCTATGAAAATATTGCTGCTACTATGTAGACAAGCACAAAGAGGTAATTTGCACAATATCAACTGGGTGAAGCAACTGCTCTAACTGGTTCTGACAATTTCAGTCATACTAACACAAAAGAAAAAAAATGTTGCATTGGTTGGGCATATTTAAGTCATCCTTCATAGGGATACTACTTAATGGGTCCACATGGGATCTGATGCTGTCAGGCTTGTAAGCACCTAGCGAAAAAGTATTACTAGCCCCACCTAGTGTCAGCCCCTTTCATATCAGGTTCCAGGAGGGAAAAAACTCTCTCAAGCTGAAATGGAACAGTAATATTTATGTAATAATTGAACTGTCCACTTAATTGTGTGAAAAAGTGATCATTTCCAGATTCAGATCAAGCAATGGTATGGATGGATTTAGCCTCTACAAATTTCTGCAGAAAAGTAGTCTGTGTGTGAGGTATATACAATTCACTTTCCATGAATTTAGTCACCACAGGATCAGGATCTTAAGGAACTTCTTAATTAAGTGAATGTGTATTTCCACCCAGAGTATGGTTTTAAGCAGCATTATTTCAATGTTTAACACAACAAACCCAAAGAGGATAAACTACAATTAATATTGCATAGAATTGGCAATTCTGGATGTGTCAAATGAAGAGTTGTACAAGATGGATACATAAAAGGTTTCTGGAATCTGCACAAAGCATGTGTAAAATACAATATCAGTTCACTGAATGTTGGAATACAGATGGTTATCAAGCTGAAACGTTGTGGGATCTCTACATGATATTACCGCTTCCCCTTGGAGAAATGTGTCCAAAAGCACGAAACACCTTGGAAGAAGATACTTTAAAGCTATACTTGGAGGACAAAACTTGAAGCTTCCTAAGGTATAAGTGTGTGCATGCACAAGCATGTGTGGAAGGAATAAGAACGTGTTAATTAGGAAAAAAATAAAACACAAAATAAATCAACAAAATCAGAAAAGATGTTTTATTAATAAAGGAAGGACCAGCATGAGAGAGAATTAGGGAGGAATGAAAATGAATCAAATCATAAATAAGGATAACCAAAATAAACTCAGAAAGGACACCGTGTTTGGTAGACATTTATTTATTTCCATTTACAACTGAAGATTTTTTTTTAAGGAACCAACTTGATTCATCTCCCTCGGCCATCCCCTAAACTGATATTAAAGTTGATATTAAAATATAATTTCCCAAATTACCGAGCTGGTAAGTAAAACTTCAAAAAGCTTTTGAAGTACACCATAATGAAAAGATGTGAGGAGAATATCAGGTACAAGAACACTATCTCTTGCTAAAGGGAAGCATTACCTTTGGTCTTTGGAGTCACCGCTCTCCCTTGAGGATGAAGTTGGCAAAGAATTCTTTTTCTTTTCATCTCCTTTATCCTCTGAGGCATCTGAATGTAGGCAATTAGAAGCAGGGAAGAGAACAAGCAACAATAACAAATTAGTCCTGAGTTTGAATTGTGATCTACCTAGCAGATGCCCAACTAGTTTGGGGCACTTGTGCATTCTTAAAACAAGAACTAGTGGTGAAACTTTGAAAGCACCAATGCTAAAGGAGTTACTATGATGGTAGTACAACTAAGAAGCAAGGTGATAAAAATACAGATCTTTCTCACCCTTTGTCCCAAGGTCTCCATCATCCTGCTAATTACAGTGCTTTCAAACACCTCTGCCTATGTGTTTCCACTTTAAACTCTGCAGTATTTATTTATTTATCGTGTCATCCGCAACCAGAACATTGTATTACATTTCTAACAGAACAAAACAAACAAACAGATTAAAAAAACCCCAAAAACCCCCCACAAATTTTGCAAACTTGGTAGCTGATTAAATGTCCTTTGACCAGTATCTGGCCACTTGGAGTGCCTCTGGTGTTGCCGCAAGAAGGTCCTCCATTGTGCATGTGGCAGGGCTCAGGTTGCATTGCAGTTACAAGTTACAAAAAGGAATTCCACATAAACATGAGGAAGAACTTCCTGACAGCAAGAGCTGATCAGTGGGGGAATACATATTGTTGCCTTGGAATATGATAGAATTTTTTACTCTGATAGTTTTAAAGAAGCCGGACAGCTATCTGTCAGGAGTGCTGTGACTGCGCAGCAGAAGGGGGCCTGACTGGATGGCCCTTGGAGCCTCTTCCAGTTCTATGATTCCATGGGGAATGGCAGAATTGCATTCTAACACCAATATGTTAATAAAAACGTTTTTTTCTTCTCCAGTTTTATTGTGGTTTTTTTAAGAAGTTGCATGCTATGGATTTTGGCTGTTTGTTACAAATGTTATAAGTCACTATGAGGTCTAAACTAGAAAAAGATGACATATAAATAAATACTTTCATTACTGTCGAAGGCTTTCATGGCCGGAATCACTGGGTTGTTGTAAGTTTTTTCGGGCTATATGGCCATGATCTAGAGGCATTCTCTCCTGACATTTCGCCTACATCTATGGCAAGCATCCTCAGAGGTAGTGAGCTTACTTTCATTACCATCTCTGTGACTTCTTGTATATTAGTCTCAGTGTAGAATTAACAAATACATTTCCCTTCACCCAGCTGCCATAGAAAGATTGGAAGTTGCCTTATACCAAGTGCAGATCATTAGTCTCTATTTTCAACTCTAACAGGCAAGATCCTTATCTCAACACCTGAAGATATTTGGAATTACCTGGGGGTCTCCCATATCAGAACATCAGTTCTGTGTGAGATAATATGAAGGTATGCCCCTTAGCCTTTGCTTTGTAGTAACAAAGCAGGAGCAGAGAGGAGCATGAAATCCGTTTATTCAGCATTAGTGATGTTTGAATGATAAACCACTGGTAGGAGGAAAAATGAAACAGCAACAGGGAGAAGGTGTTGAAGCACTGACTGATGGCACTACCTTTACAGCCTCATGACAAATAAAAAAATATAACAATTTTCAGAATTTGAATTATCCTCAATTTTCCTACGGAAGAAAAGAACCATAAAATTGTGGTTCTTTATTTTCAAGAACCACAATTTTAGGGAGCAGCCAGGTTCCACTATCAGAGTAAGATTAACTGAATTTTAAAAATACAAATGATAGATAAAAGTTCATGCAAAACCAGATTTTTTTTTGTACAGAGGTGAGCAGCTGTAAGAAAAATGCCCTGCTTATAAGTGTCCCCTCAAAATCTGGATAACTATTACCAGAAAGAGAAGGATGGGCAGATGGATCCCTCAGGCGGTCCAGCAAGACCAATCCAATACTATCATGAATATGCCTTTTCCTCACCTAGAAGTTTTTTCCAGGCTTTGATAAGAGATTTGGCAAGGGCAATCACGTCTTCATCTGTGCTCTGCTTCCGAAGTGCGTTCACAGACATCCCGATCCGGGTAGACTGCAAACCAGTAAGAAAGAAGTAACCAATTAATTATACAAGGCAGATGTATACAAAGTTTCATTGAAAAGGAAGCAGTGCCCAACAACAAAGGCAAATTTCTTGCAGGGTTACAGTCATTTTAAACAACTAAGCATCAAAGTTAATGTTGCATTCTTCATGACACATCTCATTTATCTCAGGAAAGATATACCCCCATGGAATTTGGAGTGCTTTGGCTTTGTTTTCTTCTGCTCTGGGACAACAAAGACGTTCAGAAGAAGAGACTGGATGTTGCCTAGTATGCACAGTAGAAGAGTCATGAAATTAAAGAAATTAGCAATGGGATTAAGACAAAAAATTGATTCAATTTATAATGTAGTTAAGAAATATATAGGATATAATAGCATAATATATAGGAGACGACTGAACGAATGAACAACAACAAAATAGGATAGCATAATATAGCAGAGAAGATAGATCTGTTAATAGTTTATTGCCACAAATGAAACAATTTAAACCCCCATTAGCAGATCAATGATATAATTCTTTACTCATTTTTTCTCAAGCAAGCAATGAGTACTTTTAACAATTTTCTTCCTCCTGCAAAAAAGTCTTCAAAAATCAAGCAGTTTTCAAAGCTGAGTGCTAGACAGTAATTAAGCTGTGAAAAGTGTGCACATAATTCTTATGTGAAAGAAAAATCGTGTTTATTCTATACATCAACCATGTATAGACTTTGTTTGGAATGACTACAATGACAGCTTTTTCCACCCAGAAAATGTTTCTTCAGAGAAATAGTTTCTGTGCAGAAAAAGCTGTTTCCTATGGAGAACTATTATGTACACATTTACACAGAATAAATCCATAACAGACTATTCTTGTGTGTCCCGGATTTTTCATATCAGGCCTTGCAAAACTTGAAAAACATGTTTTTAATCATTTTCACATACTTTCAAATATCTTTTCCATTCATATAGCAGAGGCAGCTCCAAAAATGAACTTTAAAAAATAATGACTAACAGCACCTTTTTTTAAAATGTCCAAGCCCTGCGCCCCTGTAGCGACTTTTGTCTACATCCAATTGTTACTTTCAACCTAGAGCAAATCTAGTAAACACTAAGGCAATACTTTTGCAAATTTCGACTACATTTACTCTAACTGGTATTAGGAATTAGATTTAGATCATGGAACCCAGGGAAGAGGAACAAGGTGAAAATACATTTTGTTTATCAAAGCAATAACATAATTTTGCCAGTGGTCTCTTTCATTTAGTGCGCTATAAAATTATCTGAGTGACTCAAAAGGCTCAAGCGCCTCTGATTCTGGGAGGATCTCTTCTTGGCAAATCTGAAAAGGATGAGATTTTGTTAACTGTATTTTGAAAATATCAGTGCTAATTACATGCAAGCATCCAGACCTCAAGACAGCACAAATATGGCATTTCCTTACACTGGTATCTGAAGTGTCTCTTGGACAAAGTGAACAATCATATACTATAATATTCATATTCATTATTATTAGTAATATTCAATATAGGACTGTCAGAGTGGCAGATTGAGAGGGAGAACTGAGGAGTTAGCAGTACAAGATGAGAGATACACAATGACATGACCTACCTGTAATAAATGGAGAGTTATTGGCATATTTTTTAGTTCCTTCAGTAAATCCATTGCCCCTTCCTGGGAAGGAAAAAAAGAACACTACAAGTTACAAATACAATCACATTGAGTCCAAAGTACAATGACTCCATTAAATTAGCAGATTCAAAGGCGGCTAATTAAAGCAAAACAGCACAGCTTATGAGACAAAAACATAACCACTCAAACCAACCATTCTTGATACAAATGACTGTTATAGGAAACTTCTGCACTATTTCTCAAATCAGTATGGATTCTATGGAATAATATTTAGCTTGTGGCATTCATCAATGTATGGATTAATAAATCAGAGCTGGAAAGCGCCTCATGAGCCACTGAGTTTACCATGAGCAAGTAATGCATGTCACTCCTTATATACTCTAATATTTAGTCTTATCAGATATGTGCCCTTACAACTTTGAAAGAACCATGTTACATTGTAGCATGTAAGTAGTTCCTTATCATGTCTTTGGCATCACCACCTTCACCAGGACAATCTGTAGCCATCAATGACTTTAGTTTAAAAGAAAGTTGTAGTAGAGATATACTACTGCCAAAAGGTTTCTGAACATGTCTGGATGTAATCAGCTACCAGTCAGATCCACTGACCTTTGTCCACACTTACATCTGCAAGTAGAAAATGTATACCCCAACTTTCTCCTAGGCAATCCAAGGCAGAAAAATAGAGGGCAGCACCTACGAAAAGGCATGTCATTGGGACAAGCTGGATTGTGAATATCAAACACAATATGAAAGAATTTTTGGAAATCCTTTAAAAATCATCTATACAACTCCAGCAAAGGATCGCTGCCTTGTCGTGGGGCTGGAGCTTGAGCACCTCAATGATGTCACGAGTGAAACTGTGAAAGGACATATCAAATCATCTTGTCTCTCTCCTGAGGAATCTGTATAAGGACCAAGTAGCAACAGTAAGAACTGACCATGGAACAACAGATTGGTTCAAGATTGGGAAAGGTGTACAGCAAGGTTGTATACTCTCCCCCAACCTATTCAACTTGTATCCAAAACACATCATGCGATGTGCGGGGCTTGACGAATGCAAGGCTAGAGTAAAAATTGCTGGAAGAAACATTAGCAACCTTAGATATGCAGATTATACTACTTTGATGGCCGAAGAGGAAGAGGAGGAGGACCTGAGGAGCTGAGGAGCCTTCTAATCAAGGTGAAAGAAAAAAGCGCAAAAGCTGGGTTGCAGTTAAACATTAAAAAAAAACCAAGATTATGACAACTAGACTGATTGATAACTGGCAAATAGAGGGAGAAAACGTGGAGGCAGTGACAGACTTTGTTTTCTAGGTGCAAAGATTACTGCAGATGCTGACTGCAGCCAGGAAATCAGGAGACGTTTCCTTCTTGGGAGGAGAACAATGACCAATCTCGATAAAATAATGAAGAGGAGAGACATCACACTGGCAACGAAAATCCGCATAGTAAAAGCAATGGTATTTCCCGTAACCACCTATGGATGTGAGAGCTGGACCATAGGGAAAGCTGGACCATAGGGAAAGGTGAGTGAAGGAAGATAGATGTTTTTGAATTGTAGTGCTGGAGGAAATTTCTGAGAGTACCTTGGGCCCAACTGCTCATTGGAGGGAAGGATATTAGAGGCAAAGATGAAGTACTTTGGCCACATAATGAGAACAAAGGAAAGCTTAGAGAAGACAGTGATGCTTGGGAAAATGGAAGGAAAAGGGAAGAGGGGCCGATCAAGGACAAGATGGATGGATGGCATCCTTTAAGTGACTAGCTTCACCTTGAAGGAGCTGGGGGTGGTGACGGCCGACAGGGAGCTCTGGCATGGGCTGGTCCATGTGGTCACGAAGAGTCAGAAGCGACTGAATGAATGAACAACAATTGTTTGTTTTGTTATACAATCCAGAAGCAGACTTCAAGGACCAGTATACGCCATAGCTTCCTGTCAGCCGTCACAACCCCCAGCTCCTTCAATGTCAATCCAGTCACTTCCATGATGCCATCCATCCATCTTGCCCTTGGTCGGCCCCTCTTCCTTTTTCCTTCCATATCCTCCAGCATAATTGTCTTCTCTAAGCTTTTCTTTCTTCTCATGATGTGGCCAAAGTACTTCATCTTGGCCTCTACTATTCTTCCCTCCAATGAGCAGTCAGGCTTTATTTCCTGGAGTATGGACTGGTTGGATCTTCCAAGGCACTCTCAGAACTTTCCTCCAGCACCACAGTTCAAAAGCATCTATCTTCCTTTGCTGAGCCTTCCCTAAGGTCCAGCTCTCACATCTGTAGATGTTTTTTTTTTTTTTGGTTTTTTTGTCGTGTCAGGAGTGACTCCTGGTATGAGAGAATTGGCCGTCTGCAAGGACATTGCCCAAGGGGAAGCCTGGATGATTTGATGTTTTTATCATCCTTGTGGGAGGCTTCTCTCATGTCCCCGTATGAGGAGCTGGAGCTGATAGAGGGAGCTCATCCGCCTCTCCCTGGATTCGAACCTGCAACCTGGCGGTCTTCAGTCCTGCTGGCACAGGGGTTTAACCCACTGCGCCACCGGGGGCTACATCCGTAGGTGACTACGGGGAATACCCTTGCTTTGACTATGCAGATCTTCGTTGCCAGTGTGATGTCTCTACTCTTTACTATTTTATCAAGATTGGTCATTGCTCTCCTCCCAAGAAGTAAGCGTCTTCTGATTTCCTGGCCACAGTCTGCATCTGCAGTAATCTTTGCACCTAGAAATACAAAGTCTGGCACAGCCTCCACATTTTCTCCCTCTATTTCCCAGTTGTCAATCATTCTTGTTGCCATAATCTTGGTTTTTTTGATGTTTAACTGCCAACCAGCTTTTGCGCTTTCTTCTTTCACCATGATTAGAAGGCTCCTCGGCTCCTCCTTGCTTTCGGCCATCAAAGTGGTGTCATCTGCATATCTAAGATTGTTAATGTTTCTTCCAGGAATTTTCACCCCAGCCTTTCATTCCTCAAGCCCGCACATCACATGATGTGTTCTGCATACAAGCTGAATAGGTTGGGTGACAGTATACAACCCTGCTATATGCCTTTCCCAGTCTGTTGTTCCATGGTAAGTTCTTATTGTTGCTGCTTGGTCCTTATACAGATCCCTCAGGAGAGAGATAAGGTGATTTGGTATGCCCATACCACCAAGAATTTGCCACAATTTATTATTATGATCCAAACAGTCAAAGGCTTTAGAAATAGATGTTTTTCTAAAACTCCCTGCCTTTCTCCATTATCCAGCGGATATTGGCAATTCGGTCTCTCCTTCCTCTACCTTTTCAAAACCCAGCTTAGGCAGATTAGGTATGGGCAAACTATACTGGCTGTAAGGAGTTGTAGGAATCATAGAATCAAAGAGTTGGAAGAGACCTCATGGGCCCTCCAGTCCAACCCCCTGCCAAGAAGCAGGAATTGCATTCAAATCACCCCTGACAAATGGCCATCCAGCCTCTGCTTAAAAGCTTCCAAAGAAGGAGCCTCCACCACACTCCGGGGCAGAGAGTTCCACTGCTGAACGGCTCTCACAAGATCGGAAGAGCACTGTACTTCGAGCAGTACGTGTGAAAAAGATCTTGGAGTCCTCGTGGACAACAAGTTAAACATGAGCCAACAATGTGATGCGGCGGCAAAAAAGCCAATGGGATTTTGGCCTGCATCAATAGGAGCATAGTGTCCAGATTTAGGGAAGTAATGCTACCCCTCTATTCTGCTTTGGTTAGACCACACCTGGAATATTGTGTCCAATTCTGGGCACCACAATTCAAGAGAGATATTGACAAGCTGGAATGTGTCCAGAGGAGGGCGACTAAAATGATCAAGGGACTGGAGAACAAGCCCTATGAGGAGCGGCAAACAAGCTTGCTCCCTCCTCCCTGTGGCTTCCTCTCACATATTTATACATGGCTATCATGTATCCTCTCAGCCTTCTCTTCTTCAGGCTAAACATGCCCAGCTCCTTAAGCCGCTCCTCATAGGGCTTGTTCTCCAGACTCTTGATCATTTTAGTCACCCTCCTCTGGACACATTCCAGCTTGTCAATATCTCTCTTGTCCTTGGTGGTGCAGTGGGTTAAACCCCTGTGCTGGCAGGACTGAAGACCGCCAGGTCGCAGGTTCGAATCCGGGGAGAGGCGGATGAGCTCCCTCTATCAGCTCCAGCTCCTCATGCGGGGATATGAGAGAAGCCTCCCACAAGGATGATAAAAATATCAATTCATCTGGGCATCCCCTGGGCAATGTCTTTGCAGACGGCCAATTCTCTCACACCAGAAGCGACCTGCAGTTTCTCAAGTCGCTCCTGACACAACATATCTCTCTCTCTTCCCTAGATCTAGACACTAGGCTCCTACTGATGCAGGCCAAAATCCCATTGGCTTTTTTTGCCACCACATCATATTGTTGGAGTCCAAAAGACCTGGAGGGCTCAAGTTGGCTCATGCCTGCTCCAAGCCTTTTCAAGACTGAGGAAAGGAGGCGTGGTTAATAGCAGAGAAAAGGCGGGGCCACCTAGGCGCCACGTGGGAGGAAGCAACCAACCAGAGCCACAGGGTGAGATGTGAGCGGAGCTTTCCTTTTCGATAGGAAACACAAGGCGTGAGGGTGTGGGCGGGGCTTCTCCGCTCTGGGCGTTGTGAGTGGGCGGGGCTAACTTTTTGAAAAAAGCCGTTGGAGAAAAACCGTTGTGGGCGGGGCCCAACCCCTCAGCGTGGTTGCCAAGGCGACCAGGAGGGAGGGGCAAGAGGGAGGCCTTTCCACAAGCCAAGAGAAGGCTCTGATTGGGAAGGGAAAGGGGTGGCCTTGCTTGCTCACTCACTCAGTCACTCACCGCGCTCTTCTTGGCCACCATCTTATCGAGGCGCCTGGCGATGCGGACGATCTCTTGCTCCCCGCCCATGGCGCCGCTGCCTCGGCTCTCCCGCCCGCCTGCCTCCTCCGCGAGTGTGTCTTTCGCCAGGACTTCCCAGCCCTGCCGTGCCGCAGCCTTGGAATGCGTCAGCGCAAGGCACGGCGGGAAACGTAGTCCTGCCCCGCCCCTCGGCTCCAACAGGCGCCGTCTCAGCTCGCCCCGCTTGCACTGCGTTTCCTAGGGAGCTTTGCGCGGGCGAGGCTTCTTTCTCCGCCGCGCGCTGCTCTATGGGAAATGAAGTTCTTCGAGAAGGCTGGCCAATGCTATGTGGGGGCGAAGGAACTACAACACCCGAGAGCCTCGGAAAGAGGCTGAGGCAATGATCAGGCATAGGCCAACTTGGGCCAGCCCTCCAGATGTTTTGGACTACACCTCCCATAATCTATATAAATATAAATGTAATGTTCGTTTGTGGGATTGACAGAACTCAAAAACCACTGGATGAATTGACACCAAATTTGGACACAAGATACCTAACAACCCAGTGTATGTCCTTCACTCAAAAAAATTGCTTTTGTCATTTGGGAGTTGTAGTTGCTGGGATTTATGGTTCACCTGCAATCAAAGAGCATTCTAAACCCCACCAACGATGGAATTGAACCAAACTTGGCACACAGTTCTCCCATGACCAACAGAAAATACTGGAAGGGTTTAGTGGGTGGTTTTGGAGTTGTAGTTCACCTACATCCAGAGAGCAGTGTGGACTCAAACAATGATGGATCTGGACTAAACTCTACAGGAATACTCTATATGCCCAAATGTGAACACTGGTGGAGTTTGGGGAAAATAGAATCCTGACATTTGGGTGTTGTAGTTGCTGGGATTTATAGTTCATCTACAATCACAGAGCATTCTGAACCCCACCAACGACAGAATTGGGCCAAAGCTCCCACACAGAACAGCCATGTGGGTCACAGCAATGCGTGGCAGGGGACGGCTAGTATATAATAATATATAATGATATACTGTTTTATTACTGCATATTTGTATATTTTAAGTTGCAATGTTTTTGATTGTGAGTTGCTTTGAGTCTCCGTATGGAGAGATAAAATGGGATATAAATAAAACAAATAAAATAGTTCAAAACATTTGGAGGGAGGGTTCAAATTGGCCCATAATTGATCTATGTTATGGTTTTCAGCTGCTTTCTATGACAGGACTCACACTAGGAAGTGACATTTATTTTACATAGAAAACACCGGCAGATGGCACTATTGTGCCACAAAGCAAGGAAGCATTGGAAGAGTGCTGGGAGCAGGTTTATCACAGTCACTACCCAGCTCTCTTATCAGACTTTTCATACAAAATATGAAACTTTAACTGTTTTTATGCAACCTCCCCTGTATTATTTGCACAATGCTGTCTCACTTTACAGTTCTACATAGCTAATCGCCTTATCACATTGAGAAATTTCCCCCTTGTAGGAAACTTCAGCCTCTTCTCAAGCATGGAAAGGCACTGAGCTCATCACATGAGTTACACTACTTCCGGCTGTCATGCATAGCCCTCTGTGATTGAAAAGAGGCAGAAGTGTCCTGAAAGAAGGGAATTTCAGCAATCAATCTCATCACATGGAGAATTTCCCCCTCGTAGGACACTTCAGCCTCTTTTCTAGCATGGAGGGGCACTGAGCCCATTATGTATTCTGTGGTTGAAAACAGACTGAAATGTCATGAAAGGAGGGAACTCTGAACATGGACCAGCAATTGTGTTCAGAGATCCTGACTCTTATTGCACTTAAAGACCAAGAGCTTGAACACTGTTCCCGTCCTAAATATCTTGGCGTCACCTTACATCGAACACTAACTAGGAAACACTGTGCAAACACCAAGCACAAAGTACCTGCATGCAATAACATCCTGCGGAAACTTACTGATAGCACGTGGGGTGCAGACCCAAAATTAATAAGAACATCAGCCCTGGCCTTGTCATACTCAACTGCTGAGTATGCCTGCCCAGGTGCAATGGGAACCATCAAGTTTCCTGTCCTGTTTCATTGTCCAACCATCAGCAGCCTCTTGTATCCTATGGGCTTTGATACAGTACCATAGAATCCTATGGAAAGCAATGGCTTTAACCTAGATCACTGTTTCTTGTATCCTCGGGTTCGACTCAATAATAGGAACCCATAGAAAGAAGTGGTTTTAAACTGATGCCAGTCTCCTTTAATGCAAGGGGCTTTGGGGCAGGGCAAAGGATCTCTTGGTTTTGGATAATGTTGTTTCTCCTGATTAAAAAAAAGTAATATTGAGTTTGTGATGAATGTAAAATGAATGCATTGCCAGCTCTTAAGTTTCCATATGTGAGTGTAATGGGGAGGCATAACTCAAAACAGGACTGCTGACAATATAAGAGGAGTGATTCTCTCCGCTAAAAGGACCCATGCTTTCCCCTCTCAATGTGATGAAGCCACCAATCAAGGAAGAAATGTCCCTGAATCTGCAGGATGTGGGCAGGATGGTTGTTGTTAGGTCAACTTGAAGACCTCTTATCCAAAGGGTCTCCATTAGTCAACGCCAACTTGATGGTAGTTAACAATACTGTTAGTCCTGGAACAGGGGAGGGGATTGCTGAGCTTCCAATTCCCAAAATGAAGGTTTTTTAGGAAACAGAAAATTGATTCAGTTCTTGTGGGTTTTTTCGGGCTATATGGCCATGTTCTAGAGGCATTTCTCCTGACGTTTCGCCTGCAACTATGGCAAGCATCCTCAGAGGTGAGGTCCTCACTTCTGAGGATGATTGCCATAGATGCAGGCGAAACGTCAGGAGAAATGCCTCTAGAACATGGCCATATAACCCGAAAAAACCCACAAGAACTGAGTGATTCCAGCCATGAAAGCCTTCGACAATACAGAAAATTGATTCCTTGGTATGTCCTTGGCTTGTTGTAATGCAGTCCTCCCTCCATCGTTCTACTCTCCTTAGTTCAGAGAACATGGAAGTGTTGCTGTCCCTGAAAGAGTGATAGGGTGTCCTGAAATGAGACCGTCCAATTTACAGTCCAATAATCTGTTTCTTACTGGAAAGATCAAGGAAAACACAAGCAGTCCTCATATGAAGGACCTTGAATGGGATCAAATCCAGAAGCATGGAAGTCGTTGGCAGAGCATCCAGCCTTTGTAGGCTTTGCACAGTTGGAAAGTCAATATAGAATTCCCAGCCAATCAGGGTTTTTCCAAAAGTGCTCAAAGAGAGGAAAACTAAAGGAGATCTTGTTTTCAGGTCCAACCAGTTCAAGAGTCTGCACCTGTTTGATGTGCCAAACATTTGCAAGACATATAGCAGTTATTGTTCTTTACCATCAAGCTGGCTTTGACTTATGGCCACTCTATGAAAGAGAGACTTTCAAGATCCCTGGTTATTATCAGCTTTGTTCAGGTCTTCCAGACTCAGGGCTGTGGCTCCCTTCATTGAATCAATTCATCTGTAAGGCCATCTCCCTTTCTTCCTCCTGCTTTCCCACTTTCCCAGCATTATCATCTTGTCCAATAAGTAATTTCTAAACACAGAACTCAACCAAAATGTCAGATGTGTTTATTTGCTTTCTGTCAGCTTTTTACACTGTCCAGCTTTCATAACTATACATGGAAATTGCAAATACTGTGGCATGGATGATCTACTGACTTGTAGCCTTTTGGTGCCTTCTCAGAGCAAATATGCCATCTTCAGACATACATCTACATTGCAGAATTAATGCAGTTTGACACCACAAGAAAAGTCATGGCTCAATGCCACAGAGTCATGGGACCCAAAGTTTTGCAAGGTATCTAGGCTTCTCTGCCAAATAGTTCTGGTGCCTCATTAAACTATGTCTCCTATGTTTCCATTACATTGAGCCATAGCAATTAAACTGGTATCAAATTGTATTAATTCCACAATGTAGATGCACTCTTGGACATGGAAGGGAAAAAATGAGCTCTGTGTCTTGATACACAGAATGCATGTGGGTTTACCCAGATTTAGCCACAATTGTGAAATGGGGTGACAACTTTTCTTTAAAAACGCCTTTTGTTGACATTAAAGACCACAGAACATGCGGATTTTGAGACACATTGGAGTTCTTAAAATTATTTTTAAAGGTCAAAACTGAAACCTTAGCAACATGCTTTCTCATTATGGCAAGAGAAGGGAGCCGATGCTGCCAGGGATCCCAGAACAATGCGGCTCAGTGTAGTGTGCGTTAGGCAGCGGGCCAAACCAGAATCTGGAAAGAGTACAGAGCCTGGCGCTATTCCACCGTGTGGCAAAATCCAGGCTATAGAAGGTCAAGCTTTTAGTCCAGGGGTAGTGAGCCACAGACTCCTCCATGCAGATGGCAGGCAGAGAACAGGAAGGAGAGGAATGGGACCTTGAGTGGGTCTACACAGAGGATGTGTTGTACCTCCCATTGCTGTGAACACTGTAAAATGTGGTTTTGTTCATCTCACCACTGAAGCAGCACATGATGTATCTCCAGATTCCAAGATGCTCAATCACTCTGTCGTATGGGGGAGATAAGTAAAGTTTTGGGAAAAAACACCATGGTTTATGGGAGACAAAAGACTGTTAAAAACCACCCAATCTTGGCTGCCCATCTGAAGCTCAAGAGATGGGATCCCAGACCGACTTCCTTTAGGACGGAGTTGCACATTTGAGGTACAAGAACTAAGAAAGTTCTGTCAAGTCAACTTAGTTTGTATTTGAGACAAGTTGCCTGTCACAACTGTTAGGAATTGTGGGAGTTGGAGTCCAAAAGACCTGGAGGGCTGAAGTTTGCCCATGSCTGATCTAGAGTGACTCTTACTCCCAGAGTTGTGACAGGGAGGTTGTCTTTATTTATATAAGAAGGATGCTTTCGTGTGTTTTGCCRCCCCCCCCCCCCCGCTTCTTTGTGGTACATTATATTTGTGAACCCTTGCAGACTAAGAGGCRATTAAACAAACTTAAATAGATAAAACCTCTTGGTATCATGTATTTGTGGTGCCAATGGTACCGTTTGTCCTATTGATACAACAATACACAGTCTATACATCACAAAACCCGAAGGACCTATTTCTATCATCTTTCAGATTGCCCAAGTCTGCTCACTTTTTAACCTAGTAATCTTTACAACAGCTCTGCAAGATGTGT